TGAGAAGTAAATTAACAGCCTTATTAGGTATCTAAGTATAGGTTTTATAAATCGATCAGATGATCATTATGCTAAACCAAAATGAACCTTATGTCTTTGCTATACAAATTGTCTCGATAATGTAACGGCTTGATGGCTGTCCCGTTTGACTAGCTGTTTTCGAAAATATATTAATTAATTCCTTTTTTACTACACTTGATTTAATTCTGATTCGTCGGGAGGTACTCGAAAATGTTATGGTAGAGGGTAAATAGCTAATAAATAATAGTTATCATCAACCGTTCATGACAGTTCACTGCTAGACTATGAGTATCCTCTACATACGAGGGTTTGTCATAATTTCCAAGACGGCAGTTGAATAGGTGTGAGAGAATCATGATTCGGCACGAATCGGCCGGCTTGACCGGAGTGATACCACGGCCGAGCAGAAAACCGACGTGATACAATGCTTGCGTTGTTTCGTCGTAAGAGTGAGGTTACCGGAAGCCCAGTTACCCCCTCCCCCCTCCCCAATCCCTGAGCAATCCTCAAATTCCCAATCCCCAAAAGGCCGGTAACTTATAACGCCTCTGGTGTTCCATGTGTCCATGGGCGACGCCGATTGCTTACCATCAGGTGATCCGTCTGCTCGTTTACCGGCTTATCTCATAAAAAAAAAGGTTCAGGTTTATAAGAGAGCACTGCTGCCCTGTCTCTTTCTAAGCGAGTCTATTGTCCTAACCCAGGTAGAAGTTAACAGTTAATAGATAAGCTGCCATTTTTGATCTTAAAAATCATAAAACCATTTCACTAACGAGTCTTTGTAATATGGCAACTTGAAAGAAGTTTGTATCTATTGTGTGTTTAAACACCACGATACAAAATAGTATCGCCTTAGGTAAATTCAAAATAAAAACAAAGCATCTTATATCTCTAATACTACTAGCTGTCGCGAGGAACCTAACGGGTTACCGGGGCTCTGGCTCGAAGTGCAGAAGGAACGGGGTAGTTTTTAGTCAGTAAGAGTCTGACACTCCCTCCCGCCTCACCCAGGCGGGAGAAGTTATTCGATGATTTTCCCCTCTTAAAAAAATACTATTAGCTACTAATAAATATTGACTTATGCCAGCGGATTCGTCCACGTTCCCGTGGAATGGAAAGTATCCTATGTGTAACTTCAGGCCATATTCTACCCTTGTTCCAAATTTCATTCCGATCCCTTCACGCGTTTTTGCGTGATTGCGTAAAAAAACATACACACACACAAATATTTAAATTTATAAATTACGATACAAGCTCTTTCAAAATGGTACAGTCTGCCAGTCTGTCGGTCTGGAAGCTTAAGAAGTATGCAAGGATCGATGTAACGTAAATGATGCTCTATAGTTTCTGTATACCCCCCATGGGACAAATATCCAATTTTTTTTAAGCGAGGAACTTCATCGATTGGTTTCTCCCATCTGGGTGAGGGAAGGAAGTGTCAGACTATTACTGACTAAAAACCACCCCGTTCCTACTTCTGCACTTCGAGCCGGAGCCCCCGGTAACCCGTTTGATTCTCCGCGACACAAATATTCTATTAGGTTCATGTTAATCTAATGTTCATCAAAACAGCTGTGACATTGATTTGTATATAAATAAATGAATCATTCATAAATATAAACGATTCAGTTAATACGTAAATGCATTTTGAATTCAATCGATGTGAAAAATATTGAACGCATTCTTCAGGCGCTATACGCCTTTGAATCATTCAAAAATCATTTGTTTTGTCAATTGTATTAATGAAAAATTATCTTGTCGTTGGTCAAGTGCTCGGAAGTGCGAGTGCCAAGTGTTTTTTTGTTTATGTGTTTGTATGAATAACTAGCTTCTGCCTGCGACTTTGTACGCGCAGTCCCATTTTCTCCCGTTCCCGTAGGATTTTCAGGATTTTTTCTGTCATAAGAACCTTCTCCTGACAATAACAAACACAACAAAATAAAATCACCCAAATCTGTCTAGCCGTTCTCAAGTTATGGCGTGACAACGGGAAACGGGTTTCATTTTCACATTTATATAGATGTGATAATATCCAGAACTACTGTTTTAAATTTAAAAAATCTCTATGGTCTATTATCGAGGAAAGCTTTAGGGAATATAACATCACACTACAACAAATAGGACTCGAGCAGCAGTGAGTAAAAGCACGCGGAAGTAGCTAGTAATACTTGAAACCGAAGAGTTTGTTAAACGCGTTACTAAGTAGATTATTTTTATTCGGTTGGGGTAATTCTTTTTATCTTAGATAGTTTAGTTATCGAGCAAGGCTTTAGGCAATTTAACATCAAGCTACGATCGGTAGGAATCGAAGTACGAGTGAAACCGCGGATATAGCTAGTATTAGTATAAATGTCAGGTAGCTTGGTAGTTTAGTAATGGTTGGTTCCGTTTGAAAAACCGGTTTTATATCGAAATTATTTTGTTAAGAAACAGCTGTGTTTTATCTATAGGTGAAAAGGTCTATTCGTTATATGACACTTTCGTTTTTTTTTTGACGATCATAAGTAGTTTCGTAGCTACGAAGTTATGTGTAATCACCTAATCACATATGCAGTCATTTTGTTAGTATACATTTTTAAATAGGTTATTTTTCAGTTTAATAAAGGAACTTCTTTTGTATATAAATGCCCACTGCTGAGCAAATTCTCTTCTCACACGGATAAGGTTTGAGCATTAATCACCACGCTTGCTCAATGCGGGTTGGTATCTTTGTATCTATAGATTAATATTGAGTGTTTTGTTTTCTAGAGCAGGTAGAACTTACAAATATTTATAACATGTTAGTTTTCAATATTTTCTTAGCCCGACTTGGGAACAAACCTGAGATCTATGCACGGATTTTGCATTTGTGACCTCTTTAGCATCGAGTTAACCATGAGGACTCGTGTGTTATTAATTTAATTTGTTTCGTTAACATCATCAGTTTTTTTATAATTAATGTAATGTTACATAGCGCCCATTATCATCCGTAAAGTGTGGGCAGAGAACACGCCCCTATTGCCTGTTTACGTTATGAATTTCATTTTCTGTTTAAAGCCCTCTTTATCATAATTGCCTCGCTAATTGTTAACTGACGCCAAAGTGCAATACACTATAGTGCATCTACACCAAATTACCTATCTTATCTGTGTAAACATAAGCACCTGTTTGAAAAAACGTATGCATTGTTAATATCCTTATCAGTAACAGATAATTACTAAATTATCTTAAGGAAATTAACAATGCAAGTTTACATAATATTACAGTTAACATTTGCACTGGTCCAAATACACAACCCTGCGGCACACCCGCATTTCACAAGCCACTCTTCAAGCAACTTCATTTATTGCACCTCACAAGTAATTACAACTCAATCAATCAACATATAATTTATATGTCACAAGTATTATCAAATATCTATCTTTAGAATCCAGTTGCTTAAGAAGGCTTATCTTGTCAGACGCTTATGACGAAACAGTGCAACTTATTTAGCTTGTTTTAATGAGTAACTAGGTGCTTTTAGTTGCAATACTTGTATGTTAATATTCTGATCATGTGTGGCATAAGAGTTTGAACTGTAAGCACTCGTTTTTGTTAGTACATCATTTATTATGTTCATGTTGTTTATTATATGGTCATCTTTGATTTGTAGAAGCGAATGGTCAATCTTGTATAGATAAAAGTTAGTGTAGGCAAATCAGGTACTGAGTCTTTTATTCGGTGCTTGAACTCTCGAACTCTCAAGTGGTTTCTCAAAAAGTGTGATTACGAAATAAGGTTAGTGATGCATATAATATGTAGGTTTGTTGTATATCGTCTTCGTTTTCTCTCTCTTAATATTAAGATTTGTTCAATCTACCTCTAAAGGGCTCAAGATCTACATTACTGGCTTCTGCTAACGGCTTCGCCCGCGTCCCGGGATGAAAATTACCCCATGTGTTATTCCGGACTGTCTGTGTACCAAAGTCTCTATTACGGCCAGTAGTTTTGTCGTGAAATAGTGATAAATATACATCCTCACAAACTTTTGCATTTATCATATTAGTAGGATAGGACGTAATCTTTAGCAAGTGACTTTAGACTGACTGTAGGAGAACTAGGTCTTGACCTTTACCCAACTAGTCTCAAATCATATTAAGTTTCACAGACACCAACTTTATGATACTTCATGTCTGCTCTCGGAGTGACCTTTTGTTTCTTCAATAAATTATAAATAATCGCTAGGGCCAAAATGACGGAACGACCACAAATTAATATTTAAAACTTTAAACTAAAATGTCATAGAACTGGTTTTTACTTTGCATTTTAATGTATTTCCTTGATTAAGAAATTCTTGTCTACGTGTTGCGTCGAAGTGTCCGTTTCAAATGATTTGATCTATTTAAGTAGATTATTAATGTTGCCTTGTCGGTTAGTTTGTCTGTTTGAATACGGTAATGTTTTTAAGTTCTGTCTTTTTGCGTATTCTTAATAATAGTTCTTTAACTCACATAATTATCGAATACTTTTCGTTTGGTTTCAAAACAGAAGTTAGCGTCTTCTAATGGCAAGTTTGAGGTGTCAATTGCGATACTTAAAGACATAGTATGACGATGTCTGCTATTGGTTTTAACGGTATTCTTAATTCACGTAATCCATTGACATTTTCTGAGATATACAAAATATTCTTTGACTGAAAAGTATGTGGCTTTGTATGTAATATGGTGAAGTATAAAGTAAAAGGAGATTGATGATTGGGAAGGGAATGGCAAAGAATGTAGCGAAACGTACACATTCAAAACTTAACTAAAACCTTCATATCACAGTTACTTGTTAATTTTATATTGCATGTGGTAATCTAGCTACAGTTAGATTTAGTACATGCTGTGTTTACTCTTACGTATGCCACCAGAACGATAAACACAATCTAAACCTTATTACAATTCCTATAAAGATCAAAACTGACAATCGAACTGAAGTGTAGTACAAAGTGAATAAAAAAACTTGTCTAAGAAAAATTCATCGCCAAGGACACCGAAAGACTAAAATCTTCAACTCGTAACAGGGAAGCACAACTTTATCGGGAGAAAGTACGAAAACTGTTGACCTACAAGATGATACAGTGATTGAGGACATAGTATTAGGTACTATGACTGCTGGAGTAGCGGCCAGGAGGAAGACCAGGCCTAGAAGGAGCTGGGCGAAGGTGGAGCAGGATGGTCAGGTATTGTCGAAGAAATAAGGACGATATTATGGTGATTGGGCATAACAAATATTAGATGTTAAGCTAGATTTTAAGTACCCTTGAAAATTAACCGAAGTTAATCCAAAACCCCCTTACGCACTAGCGGTTAACCGCGTGATTAACCGGTTCCGGTGGTTGGCCGCTTTTCAAATGAAGGCTAAGAACTCATGGCGCGATTTTATCTCGCGCCCGCGTTTTACTCCTGCGGTGGTTGCGATTGTTTCGTGTTCGCGGCTAGCACCCGCGCGCTCTGCGAACGGTTGGCGGGCGATCGCAATGGGACGCTCGGTCTGGAACTCAACTTATTGTTTAACCGCCCCCCCGTCTTGCGATAATCAACCGCCAAGTTTGTCGGTGATAATCGCAACCGCGGCAGAAAACTGCGGTCTCGTGGGTTATAAAAATTCCGCCACTATTCTGCAACCACGGCGGGCGCGGGAGAATATCGCGCCCTCAGTCGCAACCGCGAAACAACCGCTATGATAAACGCGTCAGGTGATACGAAACGCCTAAGCAGTCTACCGCTAGTGCATAAGGGGACAAAATCTCAAAAGATCAGTTTTAATTATCTGTCTATATCTAGATTTGGTTACTAGACAGAATTTTGCTACTATTTCTATGGAGCTCATGTAAAAATTAAGAATAGCTGAAGCAGATCTAAAGGTAATCATATATGCTGGCTGTATAATAGAAATTCCATGTTCAATGATATTGGATTAACATCGGGTAGTAGTTTCCATCCTAAACATGAAGTTTTACTGGGTTTTTGGTGTTCTAATTGTTGGTAGAAATGTTGATGTCTGATTTTGTGCATGCTATGTCGATTAAACTGTGAACTGTCGGGTCGCAGATCTCAGACACAATGTGTTTACTATTGTCTCTCGTATACCGACAGACAAGAGGTTAAAGGAATTTGAAAGTAGTCAATTAACTGAATAAACATCGTTTGTCTACAAACTAATATTTATGGTCAAATTTAATTAATTAAATATACGGTATACTCACTTGATCTAAGAATAAAGCTTTACTAGTTTGAAGTCATATCGGGGCTGTTGAGTGTGACGTCACCGCATAGCGCATGAATAAGAGTCCCTATATGACTTGAAACTAGTCGGGCTTTTATCTCATAGTTTACGAGAGTGCCGTATATTTGATGTCTTAATGAAACTGTTACATGACTTTGATTATGCAATCGAAAGAAAATTTTATTGCTGTCATTCGCCTGTGTATCTATAGTATTGGAGACAATTTTTAATTTTTTCTTTATGATTATCATTCATATATAACATTAAAATTATTCCCTGCAAATATACCTTGTGTGTCTTAGAATGACACCCTTGATACAAATCAAAGGTGTTGTTAAAATACAAATCTGAAGCCATTTAGTATAATCAAATCATGCAACAGTATCATTTATCGGTGGAATTCAATACATATATAATACGTGCAGCGTTAGTCCTCTGCCTATACGACTTTATTGGCAGACGGGACGGTGGGAATGACTGGTCATCTTTTCAAGAGACCCTCTTATCTAGAAGAGGTCTATTTTACGGTAGTTTTGCGGCTAGAATGGGATCGAGCTTACATCGAGAGTTCGAGTTGACATCTTACAGCCTAGCTGGACTCTCGTTTGACAAAAACGGTCATCATACCTTCAATATAAATATTTTCTCTGCTAACTATCTTAAACTAGAAATAAACCAATTTGTTTCCTTGTCTTCAGGCATCAGACTTCACCGACATAGGAGACTGGCCGACATTAGGCGCTGCCGTGTCGGGTGGAGCCAGGTGTCATTCTACACCACCTCCTCACGATGCAGACTCTTCACATCATAATGGGACTGCTGTAAGTTTTAAGATAATGGTCTTTCTTTTTTTATGGGATAAGCCGGTAAACGAGCAGACGGATAACCTGATGTAAGCAATCGACGCCGCCCATGGACATCCGGAACACCAGAGGTGTTACAAGTGCGTTACCGGTCTTTTGGGGATTAGAAATTTAAGGACTGTCAGGGATTTTGGCGATTAGAGAGATTGGGAAGGAGGGAGGATAATTGGGCCTCCGGTAACCTCACTCACACGACGAAGCACGCAAGTGTTGTTTCACGTTGGTTAAGCCTCTTCACGTACTCCATACGGTTGATCGCCCAGGTGGTGGTGGTTGTTGCATAGTAAATGCAACCGCTATGGCAAACGCGACGCGTGTCTAGCCGTCTCTCACGATTGGAGAATCCACCAATCGTAGGGGACGGCTAGCCACGCGGTCAACCGCTAGTACTTATGGGAGTTTATTCCCTAGGTGTGGTCTTAGGTCCTATGGTGCAATCTGTCCCGTAATTTAGGCCTCATATCTCTGTCAAATAGAGATGCTGGGTTACGCAATACGGGTACATTAAATATTTTGCAGTGAATAGGTTTTATTGAGAATGTCTTTAAGATGTTCTTGATTATTTGCTGTGAAAAACAATTATTTTTATATTAATGTGTAATAATGTCGGTGTAACAGTGTACTTTGAGATTGCTCCATAATAAATCATTGACTGCACGGTTATAGCAGTGGCTCGATGACCAGCTACTACACAAAGTGATGTGGGTTCAATTCCGTCATGGATCTTTTCTTTGTGTGATCCATACTTCATTGTTCCAAGTTTGAACAATATTATTGTGATGCTAAATCAACACGAATATATTTAATATAACATAACATTACGCCTTTTATCCCCGAAGGGGTAGGCAGAGGTTCACATTATGCCACTGTTCAATGTAACACCCACTTTTCACTATTTATGTTATGAGTCCCATGTAATAGGGGGTGAGCCTATTGCCATATACCGGGCACAATTCCATACTCCGTGCTACTACTGAGAATTTTTTAAAAACTCAGTAATACTTTGCCCGACCCGGGAATCGAACCCGAGACCCCTTGCCCGGCAGTCGCACTTGCGACCACTCGGCCAACGAGGCAGTCTATATTTAATATGGATTAATAAAAACCTTTTATGGTATATATATAATTTATGGTATGTATATATAAATGGTATTCCACCATTAACATGCTTCCCTTTGAAATTTCAGGAACAAGACCGCAAGCCACCAGAGGAGCCTCATCATCATCAGCCCTCTAAACCCGAGAGGGTGGAGACCACACACAACCATCAACACAATGAGAAACACCACGACAAACACTCGGATCGAGCCAAGAGTTCAGGTATGTACAGAGTATAATACATTAATCACCACCATCAGTCACTCTTCCAGAGAGTGTGGTATACCCAAGAGGGATTTTTAACGGGGGAACATCATCGAATGACTTCTCTTGCCCGCCTGGGTGCGGCGGGAGGGAGTGTCAGACTCTTACTGACTAAAAATCACGCCGTTCCTACCCCTGCCCTTCGAGCCAGGACCCTGGCAACCCGTTAAGTACTCCGCGGCTCCGTATCGGCATCAGCCCTATTGGGCACCATCCGTGGTGGTCTCGTGGCTCTTAGAAACGCGCACGGAGAGTGAGACGCCGTACGCTCGGGTCTGGTTTTGATCGGGCGGCGATCCATGGTCGCCGTCCGCAGGCCCATACCTAAGAGGTTGGATAGGTTTCCTGTAAAGCCGTGGTATCACTTTGGTGGAGCAGGCTCATCTGGACCGAAGCATGGCTCTCCCTCTCTAAAAGACCTGGCTAAGGAAGTACACATTTGACAGAGACCGGGCAGCAGCGTTCTCCGATAAACCTGAACCTTTTAAACTACGATCTTCAACTCACCAGAGATTTTGGCAAACCCTCTTATTATATAGGGGCCTATTCCTTACCCAGACTTGTTCTGCCGACAGGGTTTATCGGCTTAGAATCAGCTCAATTAACGCATGATACTCAATGATCTGGCTAAATTGAACACCTAATAAAATAGTCACAGACTGTCAAGCATAATGTTCTTGGTTCAACTTGGTCTAGAAATTGCGTAATACATAGCGTTTCTTCATTAAAACGATGTGTCTAATTTACCCCTTTCAATGATTCCAGGTGCCGGCAAAGGCAGCAGTAAGTCGGGGAAGCACAAATGGGTGCCTCTGGATATCGACGTGAAGGCAGCACGGCCCGGGAAGCATGGTCCTCAACACTCTACGAGACCGGAGAACGGTATGTTCATTGTAAATATAGCTAGCTACTCCCCGCTGCTAGGCTTCGCGTAGCGTGATGATTTACGTTACTGGACCTGTGAGGGCTAAGAATATAAGAATAAGGGAGGGGAATAAATTGGGTCTCCGCACTCACATGGACAGTTTTCTGTGAGGTATCCTCCAAAGTTCGCGAGGTCTGCTAGTAATTGTAAAAAAAAGTTTATCCAATTTAGCGCAGTCCTTCGAAACCGCTGTATGGAGATAGCTTCTAACCTCGCAATGTATAGTCATTAGGGCGAGTATAGTCATGTGAGGCACTGCACAAATAATAATTTTTATATTATAATAATTTTTGATTAATTGTTTATCTTTATCCACAGACACGGTCTCTCTCAACGGTGAGGAGAGCCGTTCGCGAGGCGGGTCTAGGTCCCGTGGAGGCCGGGGCGGAGCCCGAGGCGGGCGCCGGGGTGCACCCCGCCCTGCCTCGGCGCTCCCATCACTGCCAGCTCCACACCACCATACGCTATACCATCACGCCCATGATTTTCCACATCACCCGGATTTGGCCCAGGTAAGAGGAAATAAAAGGAATTTAAAAGTATCAAAAATAATAGTAATTATGGTAAGGGTTCGATTCCCTTACAAAACATACTATAATGATGAGCTACATTACTAACGTCATTGCATGTCGAGTGCGCCCGACTAGTTTCGAGCTCTGACCTCGAAACTTGTTGGATATCCCCGTAACATAACAACGACGTGTGTAAAAATCACAAAGTAATGAAATGTAACTAAGAAATGATTTGTTCACCGTCTAATTACTACCCTGTGTGATGTTAACTATTAAAAAATATAATTTCTGTGTGTCTAATGCACAAAATATTCCAACCTGTCCGAAGTAGACACTACTAAACCAGATTTATCTTGAGAGTACACTTTTGAATTCTAATTTTTAATAGGTAGGTACAAGATATTTTGTGCAAATAAATAAATTTTATAAAGTTGGGAATATACATGCGACGCTACACGACGTAACACGATTATTTACACAATAGGACCAGGGTAAGAAAATTAAAAATCGAATTAGTCCGTCAGTTAGATACTGAAAAAATATTAGACACATAGTTTTTTTTATTTTGTCGTATAAAACTACAATACTTAGATAAAATGGCGTTAAGTTTAGGAGTGGGAGGTCGTTACATCACAACGTGCAACATTTTAGCACGCTGTGACGTCACATGATATTTCAAATGAATATATCGTCGAAACTATTTAATTTTGTGAGAAAAGAAAAAATACGTGTCTAATGGTTTTAAAATAATCTACCAGATGGACATTAAAAAAATTTAGGAAACTACCGTATTATATGTTTTAAGCCGTCTTGCAGATTTTATTAACCTCTGGCATGTCGGAGCGTAGACTTGTGAGACACAATGCGTTTTCTATTGTATCTTAAATACAGACATACAAGAGGTTATTCTATCAGAAGGAACATTATGTATTACTCAACCCCTTCTTACATGGGGCTCAAACATAACTGTAGAAAAGTCGGTGCTATTATTATATACTAGCTACTTCCGCGCGATTTCACACGCTCTGCTCACCTCCTATTGGTCGTAGCGTGATGTTTTATAGCCTATAGCCATCCACGATAAATGCGCTATCCAACACAAAAAGAATTATTCAAATCAGACTTGTAGTTACGGAGATTAGCGCGTTCAAACAAGCAAACAAAAAACAAACTCTTCCGCTTTATATAATAGTATAAGTAAGATATAAGATTATGTACAGCTTTGCTCATAGTTTTGTCGTGAAACGTCGCGATGGTATATTCCCAACTTTTAAAGGTGAGTCGCGATAGCTGCTCGCGATCTCTCCTAGGTATTTATATTACATTGATTCTTCACCTAAGTATATAATATAATGTAAATACCTGAAAACGGGTCCCTTTTCCCAAAGAACCTTGATTTTTTCATTGTTTTTTTTTATCATTTTGAGTACCATTTTTATTTATATGTTGGGTTCATTTTTTTTTCGTTTTATTAGGTCATACTAAAATTCATAATTCATTCTCATTCTCATACATACTAATTTTAAGGGGCTTCATATTATTTATAATACATAATTTCATGTTTGGTTTACGATAATATTTCCGTTACATCCATATCAACCCACAGTGAGCAAGCGTGGTGATTAATGCTTAAACCTTCTCCGTGTGAGAAGAGACTTTGCTCAGCAGTGGGCATTTATAGGCTGTTGATGATGATGATGATGATCCATATCAACAGCCTATATATAAGTGACCACTGCAGACCAAAGGCCTCTTCTCCCACGAGAAGGTTTGATCGCCACACTTGCTCAATGCGCGTTGGCGATATCAAACTTATAATGAGAAATTAAAGCTTAGGTTTCCTTCACCGTTTGTCAGTGGTGTCTAAATAATCTTAGAATGTACATATAACTCGGAAAAAGTCACATTGGTAAATGCCGTTGTCACATTGGTATGACATCTGAAATTCCACTACACATTAACAGGAAAAACACATTCATTACTTTAATACTATAAAAACACTAGCGTCTGCCAGCGGCTTCGCCCGCGCTCTCGTGGTATATAAAGTAGCCTATGTATTATTACGGAGCATAATCTACCTCTGTTCCAAATCTCAACTCGATCCCTGCAGTCGTTTTCACGTGAAAGAGTAACAAACATACAAACACACATACATACACACACACTCACACACACACACTCACACACACACACACGCACACGCACATACATCCTCACAAACTTTCGCAATTGTGATATTAGTAGGATAGGAAGTAGGATTAAAGTAACGTTGATACTATTGAAAAGAGGTAAATTTATAGTTGTCTTTATAAAACTAGTTTCTAGATATGATATAGATTTCTAGTTTTGGTTGTCTTTGTCATTCCTTTTTCGTTCCTCCATTTTTAACTATACATGCTGCTGTTGCAATTAGCTGTTGTTTTTCTATTATAATAAAAGTGTTGAAAGAAATCTTATTCAAATTAATTGAAACCACTCAATACCTGAATAGATACATGGTACTCAAAATATATTCATCAAAATCATTCATAAATGGGACAATATTATCGTATTGTATGTATTACTAACAATTTTTTTATATTGACATGTTAAAGTTTTGAGTTTTTTTCGCCGTATTAACATTCGGGTACTTGCCAACTAGTCAAATTCGATACTTTTTTCGAACTGTGAAAAACGACAGTTTTCTATGTATTTTGTACGAGATTGTGTATTGTGACGTCACGTTTTTTTAGCGTCTAAAAGCGTACTTGTTTCTTAAAAAAATGCTGTTATGTCTATTATGTTTGCCATACATACTAATTTCATTTTTTTTTCATTATTATTATTTTAACATGGTGTCATTTTATTATTTGGTGTTCATTAAATTTTTATTTTTATTTATCATATGAGTTTTGTTGAGAGTATTGCAATGAATTTGTCTTTGAAATCAAATAAAGAAAAACTTGCCTCCAATAATAAAATTATTTTCAAAAATCGTCTCTCAACAAACTCACACCATCACATCGCATCAAACACTCATGCTCCCGCCCTCCCCCCTTCCCAAAGCAGCTACGGGTATCTGCAACCGGAGTCGCACAGGTGGTGGTACCCTTCGGAGGTCTGGCAGCGTTGGGAGCTCCCCTAGCTCCCCCACTGGCACAGGCCTTCTACTACGGCGCAGCGGCGGCTACAGCGACCCCATATGGTATGGGATTGGACCACGCCACACTGAAGGATTTGATTAAGAAGCAGATGTGAGTATTTATATGCTTTCTTTATTATGGATACAACGCCAATAGGGGCTAAGGAACAGACAGATCTCCTGATGGTAAGCAATAAATGCCGCTTTTGGACATTCTCAACACCAGATGCGTTACAAGTGCGCTGCCGGTATTAGGGTAAATAGATTGTCTAGTAAATAATGGTTGTCAGTTTTCTAATGTTTTCTTTTTTCGAGGATGTCCGATTACTTTCGTGCTACACCGGGGTTCTTAATCATTTGCTTGTGCCAAACGATTAAGGCCTAAAATGTGGTTATAAATTAGTTGGTCGTCCGTAAAACCTAATTATATCAGTAAATTCTGTATGTTAGCGTTGGAAATGAAGAATTATCAGTTTTTTAACATCAGACTTCAATACACAATCATTCTATATTTTTAGCTGACATTTGGTCTAGTTATTTGCACTATATGTCCACTGTATACGAGTGTAATGTCGTGTACAGTCACTGCGAATGTGAGTGCTACAGTAACAGGGTCGCTCGGCGTTCCGTACCGACGATGTATAGCCGGGACGGGTGCAGTGGTGACGCGACAAACTTATTAATGTCTACTCCTAATTTTATAGCCTTTGGTCTATGATGGTACTGAACATAATTCTAGGGTTCGAACCCCATGTTACGAAAGGTTTTATTAAAGTTTTAAAAATATTCTTAATACTGTCATGAAGTCTGAAATTGTGATCAAATAATTGCTTCCGTGTTGTTTCACTTGCTACTCGGCTACTATTGACCATAGCGTAATGTTTATAGCCTGTAACCTTGCTCGATTAATGGACTATCCAACACAAATATAATTGAACACAAAAACTAGGAAATTACAAGAATAAATATAAGATATTTTTATGGTTTAATTTTTTCTTATACATTTGTATTCAAAGTAGACGATTTTTATAGAAATCTCTCATCAAGTATAAGTAAATGTCTTAAAGTAACCCATGTGTATGTCTTAACCCCTCGAGCGTCCTTATGAGCACCCGGTGGATCATAAGAAAAAATGCTCCATACTGCTTTCTCTTTTATAAAATCTATTATTAATGTTTTGTATTTATTTTGACTGTATTTGTTTTATTTCTATTGTAATGATCCTTGTTTTCGTGTGCCAATTGCCAAATAAATGCATTTTCTTGCATGCATAAGGAACGCGGACGCTCGACGGATTAATAATTAATTATTTCCTATTTTATCATTTTCAGCGAATACTACTTCAGTCCGGATAACTTAGCCCGTGACTTTTTCCTCCGCCGTAAGATGGCCGCGGACGGGACTATCCCCGTTACGCTCATTGCCTCCTTCCACCGCGTGAGGGCGCTCACGGCGGACGTGCAACTCGTGCTTGATGCTATACGTGATTCCGATAAGCTGCAGCTCATTGGAGGATTCAAGGTAAAGTGGAATTTATATTTTGTAGTATTAAGGTAAAAATTGGAACATTACTGATAGGTGTGATATTCGTTATATGTATACATCTCTGTCTACCATTTTGAGGATTAAAATATTCAGAGAAATGTTTTTTTTTTATAAAATCTTTGCCCAGGACTGATTTTTCCTATGTCGTGGGTGCGTTTTCGAACATACAATATCACATACACATGACACCCAGTCCCGAAACAACAATTTGTGGATCACACAGAGTTGTTCCGTGCGTGAATCGAATACGCTACACGTTGCGCGACAGCCGAGTGCCCAGCCGCGCTAACCGTGCAGTCTACTCGTGTCCAATACCGGGTCTGGGTGTCATGTGTATGTGAACTTAATATGTTTTTAAACGCACCCACGGCACAGGAGAAAATCCTAGCAACGTTTGAAAAAAATTATAAGTCAATATTTAAACATAGCATTATAACTTAACTAATGAAATACTCCAACAGGTCAGAACAGCCTTCGAACCGACAAAATGGCCGATCCTAGACATAACCTCGAGCACAAACCCAGAAGAAAATAAACCAGAACAGCCGAACACATCCGAAGAAAAACCGAAGACGCCCGAAGCTGACACTGACAAAGAAACCGCGAAAGAAGAAGCTCCAAGTATAGAAGTTAATGAAAGAGTCGAAAACGTTGAAGAAAAGAAATTCGAAAATATCGTCAAGGAGCCCACAATAACAACCGTTGAAAAATTCGAGGTATGTACCCTTTGATATTTTACCGATTGGCGTGGTGTAAAAATGTGTAAATCTTACGTTGGCAGCGAGTAAAATCAATTTTTTTGCGGTAAAAGTGTGTTTACTGTTCTATTTTTATTCTATTGTCAATAAGCTTCAAATTAAATTAATTTTAATTGCAAATACCTCTTTGTTGTTCTAAATTCAAGTATAATATTAAAATTGACTTTTAAAGTTTAAGCATTGTTCTTTTACCTTATGTTAAGATTGTACAGAATAACGATAAAAAGTTATACTTTAACTCTAGAAACTGTAGTTTAGTAAAAAAAAAGTATCACTTTTACTCTCTGATGCAAAAAAATATCTTTTACACAGTAAAAATTGGTTTTACTCGCTGACAATGGAATCCGTTTGAACACAAGTTTGGTGATTACATGGCTTAGTTACTCAAGAATTGGCTGTAAATTTGACTCGATTTGTTTTTCAAAATTTTCTTGGACATTTTGAGAATTGTGTATGAATTATTTTTTGTTTTATTATTTTTACCGTTCTTTTCATTGAGAGGCAGTATAATTATGTAGGGACGTCATTATAGTTCGTTTGTGTTGAGAAGCTAATGTATACCATACTATAACTTGTAATCAGATGAATGAGATACTGGCTTATTATATTATTATCTTACCATGAGGTAGTGGCCAAACGTTGACCTATTAAGTATAAAAAAATGAATAAGTAAAATCACCGGCGTGTAAGTATGCGCGGATTATTGTTTTTTTGATAAGAGAAATTAATACATAAACCAATAACCGGTTTCGAAACTTAAGGATTTCGCCTGTTCGTGTTTAAGATAGACTTTCAAAATAGGGTTTTGAACTCCTTTTTGAGTATTTTGTGAATCACATAGATACATTTTCTTATCCAATCAAACCTGCGATACGTTTACTGTCGACCAGTCTTTCATTACATAGGTCTACAGCATTCCATTGAATGTGTCATATACATTCACTAGCTACTTCCGCGCGGTTTCACACGCTCTGCTCAGCTCCTATTGGTCGTAGCGTGATGTTTTATACCCTATAGCCATCCTCGATAAATGCGCTATCTAACACAAAAAGAATTATTCAAATCAGACTTGTAGTTACGGAGATTAGCGCGTTCAAACAAACAAACAAAAAAACAAAGTCTTCCGCTTTATATAATAAGATATTTTCACAAATTGCTTTCTCAACACAAACGAGCTATATTCATCTTGTATGCCTCATTTAATAATAGGCTAGGCTTGTTCAAAGCTTATTCTCATAAACCCTAACATTAAAAGTATTGCCATAATCATAAATATTAATTTAAAGCATGTGATTGGGGTTGCCATTTTCATAAAAAGAAAATTAAGCCTTTTGGTGTTACCATGTTAAAAAATTATGTTGATTTGTGAAAATAATGGTAACCCCTTGATAATGGTTTGAAATCACGCTGCCATTTTATAAACGGGTAGGCACATGTGTATATTTATTAAATAGATGGCAAGAATACTGTTAGATACTTCTTTATAGAAACTGGAATGGTTTAAAAACATTTATTGACTATTTTATGCCTACGTGATCAAAGAAAAGTAACTGTTTTCATTTTCCGGGCTCAAAAATAATAAAAATACGCCGTTGTTTTGTATAAAGACAACTATTTAAACAAATTCACTATGGTGTTTATATTACACATTCCCAAGAGATATGACTGATTAAGCATTTTAGCAACTCTTATCAAATAAGATAGATAATTTCTATGACTTATGCTGGTTGTCTGCCGCCTAAATCCATTCGATTATTATATCAAAGATTCTTACAATATAACTTCAACCATTCCAATTTCTATAAACTTTTTTTGGCAAGATATACGAATATATATTGACCTCTAATTCAATAAAAATCTCAACAAGAGAAAGGTCAATTTATACCAAATAACAAGCTTCTAAATAGAGCTTATTTAGAATCGTGTAATTATAAAAATAAAAAGTTAAAGCAGAAAAAAATACGCATTGAAATTTAATGTAAACATGGGTTATTCAACGGGGCAACATAGGAGTGAATACGACAAATGTTGCGCAATAATATGTAAGAAGTAACGCAGTACGATGTTTATGTTGCACAACATTGCATAAATACAACATTAAGTAATTTGTATTTAGCGCAACTTAGGGCTACTGTCCACATTACACGTCATTTGACAAATGCATGCATCCTTCAGATGACGCAGACAAATTATGCATCGATATGCGATTGACTCGGCGTTGCCGTAACGTGGACAGAGTTTTGTTTCTACACAAAATGCTAAAATTTCTCTTGCATTCTTCAATTGACGAAAGCGTGCGTATACCATGCGGTTACGTGGATAAGTAGCCTTTAAACATCTTATTGCGCAACATAAAACGGTAAAATATAAAACTATGGCAATCTAAGGTAAACGTGGGTATTCAACGGGGCAACTTCATGCAACACTGCTGCATACAACAATGCCGCGTGACGCACACGTCGATGTGTCAAGTTTCACGCGAAACCGCAACATCCTGTGTCATGTGGCAACATACAGCCGCTTGTCAACTATTGTATCTCAATACCATGGACCCCGTATGTCATTTTTATACACAAAATTTTAAATCAATCTCTGGTTGTGTTTAGTTATTTTTTGTAGGTACAGATTTGTGGTGGCTATGATTTTTATTTTTTTGCGCAATTATATGGTAGGAGTAACTATAAGAAATTTTGCGCGAAACGATGCTTATGTTTGCGCAATATATCATAATGAATATTTGTAATACAATAAAAAATACGATAATATTGAGAACATCGTCCCTTTTTTTTGTCAAAAAGACAAAAATCTCTGAAAAATGTAGCGCTATACGATACAATACGATGTTTTCGTAGCGCTGTACCTACTTTATTGTTCAATATTAGTTTCGTTAGATATTGAGCAACTTCCCATTACGCAATGTTTACATTGCACAATAAACACATTGCGTTGAAAATCTAGTATTTTCATAGGTTTTCATCTCAGTTTGAGCGATTTATCATACATTTTCGCAGTATTTCGTATGACTAGAAGCATTATATTCCTCCTGCGCGAATCACAGCCATCATAAATGTTGATTTCGAAATGTAAGCACGTTTAGGTCGCATGATTTGTATGTGGGCTGTCTCTTAGAGATTTTCACGATGTTTCGTTTTGTATGCTGATGTATTTCTGCTATGATAAGCTAGATATTATTAATATAGTGGTTAAAATAGCTTTAACATTAAAGTTTATTTAGACCTATTTAACATAGCTACCTAGGATTAACACCAAATTAATGGAAACATCATAATGATCACTGCCTCGTTGGCCGAGTGGTCGCAATTGCGACTGCCGAGCAAGGGGTCTCGGGTTCGATTCCCGGGTCGGGCAAAGTATTACTGGGTTTTAAAAAAATTCTCAGTAGTAGCACGGAGTCTGGAACTGTGCCCGGTATATGGCAATAGGCTCACCCCCTATTACATGGGACTCATAACATAAATAGTGAAAAGTGGGTGTTACATTGTACAGTGGCATAATGTGCACCTCTGCCTACCCCTTTGAGGATAAAAGGCGTGATGTTATGTTATGTTATCATAATGACAATCCGTGACAGTTCTCTGTTGGAGTCTCGACCCCTTCTATATAAGAGAGTTAGCCACATATCTTCGCTTGCCAGGGGGCTAAGAAGTCATAGTCGCATATCGAATTAAACCACTAGGCTTTAAAGGTAGTTTTTTATACATAATTTAGGATATTTTTCTCCGTGTGAAAAAAGATTTTATTAAATTTGTATTAGCGTTCAATCAGCATACAAAACAAAATACGGATAGTCTATTTCAATGGATTTTGATGTTTTATCCCATTCAACTTGTGTCATTCAGTAATAATGACAGACTCATCAGAGATCATGAATGAACTGGTTGCGTTCCGACTTAGTTGTGTCAACTATTGAAGTCTGTACATGTGTAAACTTTACTGGTCGAAGACAGTTGAAATGGCTGTGTCATGTCAATCAAACTAAATGACTGACTACTAATATATAATAGTAGTATAATAGTAAGCTACTAATTGAAGAAAATAAGCTAGTTTCCTAAATTTTATTTTAATGTCCGTCTGGTAGATTGTTTTAAAACATTATACACGTATTTTTTCTTTTCTCACAAACTCAAATGTTTTCGACGATATATTGATTTGAAATGTAACGACCCTCCTAAACTTAACTCCATTTTATCTAAGTATTGTAACTTTATACCACCAAAAAAAAAAAAATACGTGTCCAATATTTTTTCATTATCTGACGGACTAATAACATTTTTTATTTGCTTACCCTGGAAACTACCCAATTGGACTCCATCAATATAAGGTCTTTCCCTCTAGACCTAGGGGTCTGTCAGCAGCTAGACTAACTTACAGATAATTGGAACCTGTTAAGCAGAAAAGATCCAGCTCACGTTTTATTACTCTTGAGTAAGTGAAGTTTAATGTTGGGCAGATAATAAAAAAATCATATGACACAGTACCTATGGAATAGGTACCTGTAACATATGATTACTTTAAAACTTAATTTACTCCAGAAAAAAAATGTGGGCTGGATCTTTTCTGCTTAACAGGGTCCAATTTAACATGTGTTTCATATAAAATGTTTTAGTTAGGCTGGCTGGGAAATGACTATTAAATAAATACACAAAATCCTGTTGAAATAGACCATTGACGCCTGAATACTGAATGGCACCTCAGTTTGTAGTTGTACTTAAATATCGTGCCGTCTCTGTCATTTTACATAGAATTTGTAGAGACAGAAGAGATATTTAAGCGCAACTTAAAATTGATTAGCCTTTTAGTATTCGGGCGTACATCTCTAACAGCCCTTTCGGCAGTCGTCACAATATGTAGCATTGATAAATTTGCTTTTAATTTATTCAATTTCGTTGTACTCGTATATTCGTGTAGTAATTTATTTATTTTGCATTATTTGTTTCCATTTTTTATAAATATTTGCACGGTCGTCCCCTTTTTTTATATATATAATTATTGTTATTGGTGTCAGTTTGTTATATGTTGTTCAAATATAATATTGCTAGGAAATTATTATGTTGCGCAATGTGTGTTGCTAAATTTTCCAAATTTCGCATTTTTTTGTCGTATTTAAAGCGCTATCTTTTCGGTGTCTATTTTATTATTTTATAGTCATGTGATAAGTACTAGGTTGTTATACTATTTTTTGATTCATTATTAAGGCATCCTTGCTTATCCTTTTTTTCGTTGTTATTATTTTTTTAATTTTGTAGTAGCATGCTTTTTTGTCACAAGTACTTTTATTTAGTAAGAGTTCATACAATTTTTATTCTTTACTACAGATAGATATCTCGTTCTCTCTCTCGTTCTCTATCTAACTCTCTTTCACGTTTCCCTACGTTTAAAATTAAAATAGACCTGTATTTCTCTCGACTTTTCTATTGTATAGTTCCTTTAAATATTTATTAAGCTTGGTGTCGTAAGAATATTTTTGTATGTACCTACCTATCTACCGCCGAGAAGTGACAGTTCGATAAAACACGTTTTACTATTTGATGTCGTAGTAATAGGTTCTGAATTATACTTTGTATTAAGATATGCAGTACTTCCAGATTGTGGTTAAAAAACAATGTTCCATGAAGTATATATTTCATTTTCATACAATATACTGGCATAGCTGAAGTCTGGATGTATTTTTTTCACTTAATTAATTAAGGTAGAACTTGTATCTATGTGTGAAAACTATTCCTAATAGGGTTTAATTAAAAGTCCTCAATTTTTCAAGTTCACATACACGTGTTAAAAGGTAATTGTATATCATAAAAATCTTCAGGACTTTCAGCCATGCCTCGGAAACCCTGTATTCTTACCTCTTCAGTGTTAAATACTGAAAAAGGCCACTACGACAGGGTATATTAATTTTCTCAAGTCGCGAGCGTCTATACTTTATAGATGGGCGTTTCGATAAAGTAGAATACATTTGTTTTTCCCATTAAATACTATAACTACGACTTATAAATGGTAGTGCACAAAAAACGTTGTAAATTAAAAAAAATGTATTTATTTATTTTCGGCTTCACCCCAAAGTAGACTGAGAGAAAATGCCAAAAGAAATGGGGCTATTTTATTTTTTCTCAATAGATGTCGCTAGTGTACGCTCTCGTTATTCGTCCAATAGGGAATAAGCTAGTGTCACAACATTGACTTTTTCCGAGTTATATGTACTTTCTAAGATTGTTTAGACACCACTGACAAACGGTGAAGGAAAACATCGTGAGGAAACCTGGGCTTATAATTTCTAATTATAAGTTTGTTGTCGCCAACTCGCATTGAGCAAGCGTGATGGTTAATGCTCAAATCTTCTCCGTGTGAGAAGAGGCTTTGCTCATCAGTGGGCATTTATAGGCTGTTGATGATGATGACACCACTGGACGTTCAATATTTGAATGCTGCTATGATTGGACGAAAAATTATATAGCTACTTGCTCTTGTGCCATTTGGTGAGCTATAAAACAGTAGCACTCAAATAGTGGGCGTATGGAGTATTAAAATAAATAATTGTAATATTCGCGTAAACTATTTGAGAAAAGCTCGACTGGTTTCGATACGCAACGGGACTCTAAGATTGTGCGTGCGTGAAAAGGCGATTTTGCGTAGGCATTACTATTCATTTAGTGATTTTCAATATAATTTTTATACTAAAGTAGAAGATACAATACGTTTTTATTTAATATTATTTAGCTAACGGTATTAAAACCTACAAAAATTAAACATTAAATCTACCTCAAGCATCGGCTAATGCCCGATACGAAGCCGCGGAAGACCTAACTGGTTGCCGGGGCTCCGGCTCCAAGAGCAGGAGTAGGAACGGGGTGGTTTTTTTTCAATAAGAGTCTGACACTCCCTATCGCCTAACCCAAGAAACTTCTCCCACAGAAGTCATTGGATGAATTTCCCCCTCAAAAAAAAAAAATCACTTTTCTCTTTTACAAACCGCATGATAATCTATTCAGTAGTGTTTGAGTTCACCGCAAATGTACCCCGGTGATGTATAGTTAGTTTTCTTTCAATTATGTTAAGATTTTTTAAACATTTTTTTTATCAAAGTATGGCTTTAAATTGGCACGTGCATTCAATAAACAATTATATGTCGAAGTTATGGTAATTAGTGCATGGTTGCTACTATCATTGTCTTTATTTGCTTACGTAGTACGCGCAAATTTACGAAATTTTCGTTAAATTGTACAGTTTGCTGTAAAAGTATGACAATGCGTAAAATTATTTTGTAATAATATTTTTTTTCTGTCTCTTACCCGGGTAATATTATACTTAGAAGCAAAGAAACGGAGCGACTGACGTTTTTTTCTTTTTAATTTGTTTATAAATAATTTCTGGTACAAATATTTTATTAATTGGTAACGTATGTCTTATAAGGCAATTTAGTTACCTTTAAAATGAGACTGCCTCGCTTGCCGAGTGGTCGCAAGTGCGACTGCCGGGCAAGGACTCTCGGTTCGGGCAAAGTATAACAGGGTTTTCAAAAAATTCTCAGTAGTGGCATGGTGTTTGGAATTGTGCCCGGTATATGGCAATAGGCTCACCCCCTATTACATGGGACTGATAACATAAATAGTGAAAAGTGGGTGTTACATTGTACAGTGGCATTAAGTGCCGTAATGTGCACCTCTGCCTTCCTCTTTGGGGATAAAAAGGCGTGATATTATGTTATGTAAAATCAGAGCATTTTCTTGTAAAAGGAATCCTGTTTTTTAAAGTAATGGAGGTTATGATAAAATGAAAACAAATAGCCCAAGTGGCTCCATTTGTTCCTAAGTGTATTCTGGTTCATTTTAATTTCGTTAAAATCATAAACTTGTAATGATATTGTTTAATTGCATTGACAAAGTATTGTAATAAATTACTGCTAAAGCCTTATGCATAAAACACTTTTATAGCAAACTGTACGACAACAATTTTACGCTTAATGCAACATTTATAGTCAATGTTTAAATAATTTTATATTCTATTAAAACTTAAGTCTCAATAACCAGTCTACCATTAGATATATGAAATGTTATGGCCGGTATAATAAAATAATTTCAATATAAACTTCTTAGGCGTAATAATAATACCTAAGTATTTGACAACGGCCGACATAATAAATCAATTAAATAATCTTTTTGATCTAGATTTTTGATAAAAATTAAAATTAAACTAATGTTAAAATCTTATACGATTGGCTTTTTAACTTCAGCCAAATAAATAGTAGATAACCAAGTTAATTAAAATTCGCGGGTTACTCACGTGAATATACTGAGAAAAGCTCTACTAGTTTCGAACCACAGAGGGGTTCTTCCTCATGAGCAGCGTGCGCGGTCGCGGCGATGTCGCGCAGCCTATTCAGTGTAACCTCTGTGGTAGAGCTTTTCTCAGTATATTCACGTAAGTAACCCGTGATTTTTAGTTAATTTAGTATGTCTCACGATAGTTTGAATAAAATAACATGGTTATTGAGACCTTTAACCTATCAAATTATAACCAAAATAAATCACCTCAATAATATAAATATTAAAAAAAAATTACAGACACAACAGCAACCCTCGCAACCATCGGCTACAGTAGAGGAGATACACGATCAAGATATACCAGAGGTGTCCGCAGTATTAGAAGTGGGAGAGAACGCAGAAGAGAAGAAGAAAGAGGCAGAGTTTGAAGGCAATAAGCCAGTAGACCCCACTGATGATCCGCCACTGCAGTCTGAGGGCAATGAAGAGAAGCCTGGTGAAAAACGGTAAGTGGTTTTTGAGGGGTTTTGAGGAGGTTTCGATTTCAATCGGTGAACTGTCACCGATTCGTGGTAGATGTCCCACCTACACGCACGTAGCGCTTCGCATCAAGCTTTCTTCTACATACTGCTATAAAAAGGAATTCTTTCCCAGAGTCTGTATTTCCTTTCCTGAAGGGTATACCTAGGTGTTTTCAAGGCCCGAGTGAATAGATGGGTAGTTTCCAGATTTCGCTAAGTATAGGAGTGGGAGGTCGTTACGTCATAACGTGCTACAAAATGTGACACGCTGTGACGTCACACGATATTTCAAATTAATATATCCTCGAAACTATTTAATTTTGTGAGAAAAGAATAAATGCGTGTCTAATTTTTTAAAATAATGTACCAGACGGACATTAAAATAAAATTTAGGAAACTACCCAGGTAGCTTATGGGACGACCTGCTCTATCATGTCAGTCAAAGACATAGAAAAAAAAACCTTAAAGGACAGTAAATAATACAGTCTGGAGCTGACCAGTCTCAGTTGACGGCGCCCGTTTACGAACATGACACGTGCACCAGCTCAACTCAACCATATTGTAGGGAATCAAGCTGCCTTCCACAGTCTTCCCCCTAGATTACTCATCACGGAGTTGGAAACAGCCTGCATACATCGACTGTCGCAAACCTTTATCCTGCTTAGACATTAAACTGTCAAACACCGCGGGGACACCGTTGACCGCAACCTATTGTTCTTTAATTGTGTCTATAATGACGGTACTCAAAGGGTTAATCACTATTTATTTGTTGTAGCCGTAAGAAGCAGATGGTGGGTATCTTCCCTCTGCCGACGATGGGAGGTCCTCTTGTTGCGCCAGTTTCATCACTCCTCAGGGCCGTGCCTCCGCCACCGCTACCCAGGTACGTTTATATATAATACTTCAATATAGAATTTCATCAGGAATCACACTATATATTGGTCGAATAATTATACACCATGAAATCTATTTCGTTTTCGTTCCGAAGTAAAATGGTTCTGTCTCTATAATACAATAGTTTTTCAAAGAAATAACAAAACTGGTGAACCATTGCAAAAAGCAAACTTCGAAAGCGCATAAGAACTCATAGTACATTATCAAAACATCACGCCATGTAATTCTCGAAGAGGTATTTCTCGTCGGGTGGCGCGTGCGATGCGAATAGTGCCTACAAGTTTACTTAGTGTTTCATTTCCATGAAAATTTATTCATTTTTGTTTTTACTTTATACATCGAAAGTACTCTTTATGGCGAGTTGTTTTGCCGCGGGACGATAGCGAAATACATTTCACGGTGTATAATTATACTTGAACGGAATAGTTGTATATGAATACTTCTACGAGCAAGTATCCGCCTGTTTGTTTGAGTCAAATTTAATTGGAATAAATATGTCAATAGAATACCATTTTGTATTGCACTATATGTCCACTGTATACGAGTGTAATGTCGTGTACAGTCACTGCGAATGTGAGTGCTACAGTAACAGAGTTCCCCGGCGTTCCGTACCGACGATATATAGCCGGGACGGGTGCAGTGGTGACGCGACAAACTTTATATTTATTTAAATAAAAACACGCCTAAACACGTGCCATTAGTAGGTAATGATCGCGATATTTACACACACACAGGGTGTGTGTGTATGTGTAAATATCGCGAACACCCACACAAACATACACACATAGTGTTAACTAAAGTTGTTGACACCATAACATCACGCCTTTTATTCCCGAAGGGGTAGACACAGGTGCACATTATGCTACTGTACAATGTAACACCCACTTTTCACTATTTATGTTATGAATCCCATGTAATTGGGGGTGAGCCTACTGCCATATAGCGGGCACAACTGAGTTGTGTTACTAATGACATTTTTTTTAAACCAAGTAGTACTTTGCCCGACCCGGGAATCGAACCGGAGACTCCTTGCCCGGCACTCGCACTTGCGACCACTCGGTCAATGAGGCAGTCACGTTTGTTGTTGACTCACGTGAATATATGTACTGAGAAAAGTTCTACTAGTTTCGAGTCACAGAGGGACCTTTCCTGATAAGCAGTATGCGCGGTCACTGTAGTTATTATAAAAATACACAGAGCGTTCATTCTGTGCAATTTTTTTTGGTACTAACTGGCAAACGAGCATACGGATCACCTGATGGTAAGCAATCGGCGTCGCTCATGGACATCCGGAACACCAGAGGCGTTACAAGTGCGTTACCAACCTTTTGGGGAAGAGGGTAATTGAACCTCCGGTAACCTCACTCACACTACGACGGTTGTCTGCTCGGCCGTGGTATCACTCCGGACGAACCGGCCTCTTTCTTATTCAACTAGCCAATTTAGTAGTCATCTATCTCGTTGTGAACTATATTAGCAGTTGGTATATGTTTGTCTTTATTTGTCCAGAATGTTTCGCACGGGTCGCGGAGGGCTGGCGGGCGGGGCTGCCGCGCACGATTCGCTCAACCCCGACGTTCCGGAGTTCGTGCCGCTTGCATTACGACATGGTAAGTTAAACTATATTATTTATATCATAACATCACGCCTTTTGTCCCCGAAGGGTTAGCCAGAGGTGCACATTACGGCACTTAATTAATGCCACTGTTTAATGTAACACCCACTTTTCACTATTTATGTTGTCAGTCCCATGTAATAGGGGAGCCTATTGTCATATACCGGGCAAAATTCCAGACTCCGTGCTTGTACTGAGATTTTTTGAAAAAGCCCAGTAATAAAATTAAATAATTTTCTTGCTGTGTGCCTGTTTTTGGTGTATTTATAATTTTTATTTTGTCTTAGCTGTTACCTACTAAGTCAGTATTCGTGTGAATCTATAAGTGGCTCAATGTTACTATTCTTCTGCTAAATGTATGTAATGTAGCTGTTGATTCACCATTCAATAAATAAATAAATAAATAAATAAATACTTTGCCCGATCCGGGGATCGAACCCGACACCCCTTGTCCGGCAGTCGCACTTGCGACCGTCTGTCGACCGGCAGTCGTAGTATATTATTTATTTATACAAAAATACATGCATACATACATACATAGAGACATAATTATTATTATGGGTGTTCTTTCTTCTCCTCTTATAATATCTTCTAATTCACTTCGTTGCGGGAACCAAGACAGTTACTCATGTCCCTGGGACGCGCCGGACTTCAGTGTTCCGGTGTTTTCATGGTTGTATCTACTGTAGATCCTGGCTTACAGGAGTTGCAGGGGGCTTGAGGAGGTTGTGGTGGACTTGTCTCATAATAAAAATGCCTGCTTATAAGACTTACTTGAGCCTCATACTTAAAGTTTAAGTTCTCTCCTTTTTCTCTGTCTTCATCGACATACCATAAGTTGCCACTTCTGACCAAAGGTCTCTTCTCTCCTCTCACACGGAGAAAGTTTGAGCATTAATCATCACAACGCTTGTTCAATGCGGGTTGGCAATTTCAAACTTATAATTAGAAATTATAAGTTCAGGTTTCCTCACGATGTTTTCCTTCACCGTTTGTCAGTGGTGTCTAGATAATCTTAGAAAGTATATATAACTGGGTGAAAGTCACATTGGTACTTGCCGTTGGTAGGTAGGTTTCGATCGAGCCCGCGCACTCATGAATGAGAAGCAGGCATGTTAAACCTCCGGGCCACCACGACTCTCTTTTAGTTAAGTCTTAAATTATTATTATCTTTGTTACAGAGGAGTGCAATGACAAATCCGATAGCTTGGACGACAGACCAAGCTCGGGGACCATCAGCCCCAACTCAGAACAAGTTTGGACTGAGGTACGTATAGAATAAAAAAACTAAGTTTTACAAAGCACCGTTTATATAATAAAGTATTTTTTTTAACAGATTTTGTTTTTATTTATTTATTTATTACTAGCTTCTGCCAGCAGCTTCGCCCGCGGTCCCAGGGGTAAAATGCCTATGTATCACTTCAGACCATAATCTACATCTGTTCCGAATTTTATTCCGGTCCCTTCACTCGTTTTAATATGACTGAGTAACAAACATACACATAAACTCACATATTTTCATTTATAATATCGAGTCAAGCTAATTTCAATCATTGGCCTTTCAGATACAGCGTAAAGTCTATGAATGAGTATTGTAAACGTTAGAGTAGACAAATACAATCAGAAATCACCGAATTGCTAAGCTATCTGGAGTTTCACGTGTTATTGTGAGTCAACCATAAAAGATAGACATGTGCTGTCGAGGAATATTTTTTATATAATTTTAAGGAGAATATTTCCATCATACATGATTTCTATGCAGCTTTAACCTATAAGCCTGCACACGCGCCGGAAGTTTAAAAAATGGAGTAACTTCTCCCGTTTTCCCAATATTTCCCTTCACTGCTCTGCTCCTATTGATCGTAGCGTAATGAAAAGTATCCTATAACCTGCCCAAGAGTATGAAGAATAATTGTGCCAAATTTCGTTAAAATCCATCAAGTAGTTTTTGTTTCCATAACGAACATACAGACAGACAGACAGACAGACAAAAATTTTACTGATTGCATTTTTTGCATCAGTAGCGATCCCTAACCACCCCCTGATAGTTATTTTTTAAATATATTTTATGTACAGAATTTACCTCTCTACAGATTTATTATAAGTATAGATTTATGTACACACATTCAACACAGAGGATAATACATATATGTATAAAAACAGAGTACATAGGCCCCACATATTTCTTCCTGTGGGCCTGTGGCAGGAAAAGAAATAACGACACCGAGATACATAGTGTGTTACACAAATAAGATAAAAATTAATTTAAAAAAAAACAATAATACCGAAGAAACCAATAGAAATAACAATAATGAACAAATTAACCCATAGATCCCCAATCGGTCACCCGTGACCGTTTTCCACTACCTACATTAAAGACCTTATTTCCAATGCTTAGAGACTACTTTTGTATGAACAAGTTTAGGGGATGAATTTCAACGGGTTTAATATATGTAATACCTACAATTATGAAAAATAACCAATAAATAAGTTTTTTTTTACAAGTTGAACATTAATTTGCCAAGCGGCTGTCCTTTTATTACCTCCGTCCGAATTATTAGCGATTTTTGTACATCCCCCCCCCCCCCCCCCCCCTACCCCTTGGTGACGATTACGATGGGCGCTAGTGTTGCTACTCAAGAGCAGTACCGTCTATACCATTAGGGCACTCGAGGCCCGTGCTCTGAAGGACCTACAATTTCTACAACGAACACACACTTGCTACATGTTACAACTGGCTACTGCACAACTTGTGGCGGATTCGATTCCTGTACAAACCAAATCTTTGTGTGACACAAATTGTTGTTCCGGGTCTGGGTGTCATGTGTATGTGATATTGTATGTTTGTAAACGTACACACGACACAGGAGAAAATTCTAGTGTGGGGCAACGTTAAAAAAAGAAACATTCCAAAGTGCTCAAGGGCGTAGTTTAAGGCCCTTCTCAAGAGTGCTAAATTTTATTATATCATTGTCGATCTATCGGAATTAGGTTCCCCTACCACCTCAGTGATCTCGAATGTGCGTTATTAAGGAATTTAAGACATTATTTTAACTAAACATGTTATACCCGCAACTTTCAACAGACAATAGGCTAAGAAAAAGTATACGGATTGAACAGCATATAAAGTAGGGACTAGATTTGAGTATTCTGGCGAAGGCGGATTGACAGCCTCTTGAGTTTATCGTGCCTTACTTCTGCCTTCAGCTTCGATTGCGTGGGATACAAAGTGGCCTATGTGATATATCACACCATATTCTACCCCTGTTCCAAATTCCATCCCTATCCTTTCAGCCGTTTTGACTTGATTGCATAACAAACATACACACAAATATTTCGGCATTTATAATAAGTAAGATTACGTGTGGCCTGGTTGCGTAAACCTAATATGAACATGATAAAGATATTTTTTATTTGCGTTAACATGAGTAATATTACAAGAGTACAATAGTAAAATAAAGAATATTATATATATATACATGCAAACTTAAATAAGAAAAAAAGACATAGAAGTCGATATTAAAACTTACGGGTAAAACGAAAGCAAAAAAGACATGATGTATTTTGGAGTATCAAAACTTATATAACTTTTCCTTAGTTAGGTCTTGACTGGCATCATAGTCCAGGATAGGGAACAGAAGTAATTCCATTAACACTCTGATACGAATATCAGGAGATCATTGATCATCTTTAATACACGAACAAGAATTTGCTTGCGCGATTTCGCGGTACCAGAAAAGGCAATAAGGGAAAGGGGGGGGGGGGATATCAAGAGATGATTGACCATTGATCAACGTTAATACACGAACAAGCATTTGCATGCACGACTTTGCGGTACCGGACTAACCTAGAAGAGGCTAATCTCAAGAGATCATTGATCATGTTTAATACACGAACAAGCATTCGCATGCGCATTTTCACTTTACCGGGACAGCCAATAAGGGGTGACTACGCGACCTAAGCTGTTTTTTTTTGGTCGTCCCACTGCAAGGCGAAGACCAAGGCTAATCCATTTCATAGGCTTGCAAGTTCATCCCGCCATCTCCTTCTGGGCCTACCGCGAGTAAGCTCTACTCACTACTACAGACGTAGCGGTAGACTGAAATAATGAGACATATTTAGAAAACAGAGACTAAAGTTCTCTAAGATCGGAAAAAGAGGGATTCTCCGACTAGGCGAGATGATCGTTCCTGGCGGGCTACCGTCCCGACAGTTGTACCTACTACGTTGGGATTTCTTTCTTTATTTTTTTATTAATATTAAAATAAAATCATCCTATGACTTCTCCCGCCCGGGTGAGGCTAGAGGAAGAGTCAAACTCTTACTGACTAAAAACCATCCCGTTCCTACCTCTGTACTTCGAGCCGGAACCTCAGCAACCCATTAAGTTCTTCGTGGCTCCGTATCAGCCCTACTGGGCCCCTTTCCTGGTGGTCTGATGGCTCTCTGTGTCGCGCGCGGAGCACAACGCGCCGTACACTTGTGTCTAGTTCTGGTCAGGCAGCGAATCACCCGTGCTCGCCGTCTTATAATAAAAAAGAAATTTAATAATTGTTAGAAAAAAATACTTATCTAATGTTTTTAACATAATCTACCAGACGGATATAAAAATAAAATTTAGGAAACTACCATATTTTGATATAATTATATACATTTTGATTTCGAAATGTTATTTTGGTACATAATTCGCATATAAATAATATTTATTTTGTAACCATATAATTAATTACTTCTACAGGTAAAACGCCGTACGAAAGCTGGTTCCCGCGAGCGTACAGCTGCTGCAGCGGAAGATGAACCTCGCGAGGAGTTACACTTCCAGCTCGATGAGGAACTGGAGTTACCGCCGCCCAGGCATAACACATTCACTGACGCTTGGTACGTAAGCTAAAACTTAAAACTTACGTTTTTCAATTAGTCCACGAAATCACGTTTAAACATCAACATAATATTAAACCTTTTATCCCCGAACGGGTAGGCAAAGGTGAACATTACGGCACTTAAAGCCACTGTACAATGTAACACTCACTTTTCACTATTTATGTTATGAGTCCCATGTAATAATGGGTAAGCCTATTGCCATATACTTGGCGCAATTCCAAACTTCTGGCTACTACTGAGGTTTTAAAAAAACCGGTGATACCTGCCTGACAGTCGCACTTACGACCACTCGGCCAAGAAGGCTGCATTAATTATTTATTTCCTCATAATAAACAAAATATATGTATTTTTCAATTCCTAGAAAGCACTTTTGAACGTCAATTAAGTTACAAAGTATCAGTCTGTCAGTCAGTCTACTAATGTAGCTGTCCACTACCGCCACTCTTGTAGCGGGTATTGTATACCTAGCTACTGACAAATACATTATATGATCAATTGTGAAAATTCAATTGTAACCTTTTTGGATTGAATTTGGTTAATTTTTACCGTAAGTCCATCCATAGATTTTGTAATTAAGATCTCTAAGTAAAAACATGTGTGAACCAATATAAAACACTAGATGTTGCATGCAACTTCGTCCATGTAGAATAAGATTCCTGTTTTATCCCATGGGAGTATTTAATCGGGATAAAACCTTAGTCACCCCATACCGTGCCTGTATACTAAGATTCATCAAAATCCATTCAATAGTTTCAGCATGATTGACGGAAAAACATCCAAACAAAAAACTTTAATATTTATAGTATTAGTATGATAATTCAAGCTTATTTCTCTTTCATCTCTCATCCCCCAAGTTTGACGCGATTAAACCTGTACTCAATAATCGTTAATCCCCAGGTCTGACGAGGAATCGGACGCAGAATTCACGGACCGCGACGTCGGCCGCCTGCTTATAGTGACGCAGACTGCCGCCCGACAGCCCAAGCATGACGGACACGACCGCCAGGGAGACTGGAACACTCGCACCAAGATCACGCAGGACCTCGAACAGGTATACCAATGCTTATAAATATTATATTCATTTTATTTAAATGTCATGGCGGCCCGGAGGTTTAAGACGCAGAAGCGGGCATCTTGCATGATGGTACGGCTTCGAAACCTACTTAGGGCTATCAAGTGTGGGAGAGCCATGCTTCGGCACGAATGGGCCGGCTCGACCGGAGTGATAACACGGCCGAGCAGAAAACTGACGTGAAGCAACGCTTGCGTTGTGTGAGTGAGGTTACCGGAGGCCCAATTATCCCCCTCCCTAGTCTCCCGAATCCTCAACAATCCTCAAATTCCCAATTCCCAAAAGGCTGGTAACGCACTTGTAATACCTCTGGTGTTCCGGATGTCCATGGGCGGTGCCGATTGCTTTCCATCAGGTGATCCGTGACAAAAGTTGAAAGTCACCAGACTTGTATGCCAGGCTGTAACCAATACTGCTTACACTGAGCGACCCTTTTAGCATAGGCATGTTGTCAGCTCAGCTCTTCTAATACATCTGTTTTAATTTTTCACCTCAATGTTTTTATTACTTCCACTGTCACACCTTGATTGTCTTTTTTATATTTTATTTATGCTGCATCGTGCCTGGTACTGAATAAATGTTTTTTCTTTCTTTCTTCCTTCCTACCAACGGCACGTATCAATACGACTTAACGACGGCTATGCGACGAAAGTCGTTGAATGTATTTTTTTATTTACATATCAGCTTTTAGATCAAAAATCGAACACAGATATTAATGTACTATTTTTATTTTATTAATAAAGGTGTCTTCGTCTGTTTTCAGGTTATTACTGATGGGTTGAGACGGTATGAAGAAGATTTGTGGAATGACACAGACTATCCATCGGTAAGTTTATCTTTTTACATACATAACATCACGCCTTTTATCCCCGAAGGGGTAGGCAGAGGTGCACATTACGGCACTTAATGCTACTGTACAATGTAAGACCCACTTTTTATTATTTATGTTATGACTATGAGTCTCATGTAATAAGGGGTGAGCCTATTGCCATATACCGGGCACAATTCCAGACGTCGTGCTACTACTGAGAATTTTTAAAAAACCAACCCAACCAGCATTGAGTAAGCATGGTGATTAATGCTCAAACCTTGGGGTTTACTCTTGAATCCAATTCCGATCGATCGACATTGGTATTGTGAAATTTCGTATTCTTGAGTAGCAACACTAGCCCCCATTGCATCCGTATTGCGTGGATATTGAATCAACAAAATTGTATTTAGTTTGGCTTTATATTCCGTACTCCGAATGCTATTTTAACAGCTACTATAGGGGTTGTATAGTTTTGACATTGAATAATTATTGAGACTTTATTGGTTTGAAATTGCATTGACATAGAGTAAGCACCCTGATCCCTGATCCGACAGCCTTTGGTCAGCGGTGGCTAGCTATGTGATGATGCTGATTGTAGTATAATATATTGCGTTGGTACAGTCGTACGGCAGCCAGACGTACCGCACGGTGTCGCTGATCAGCCGCGAGCAGTTCGAGGCGGCCGTGCCCAACGAGAAGCACTACAACCCCGCCGAGCCGCCGCCGCCGCCGCCGCGCCCGCTGCAGGTAACGAGCGCCGCTATATTACTATTTATCCACTTGAAAACGTCTACAAATTCAAGTTCAAAATCTTAGTAACGATTACAACATAACCTCACGCCTATTATTCCCGAAGGGGTAAACAGAAGTGCACATTACGGCACTTGCTAAAAGTGCCTTAGTAGTAGCTTATAGCACGTAGCTTCCTGTCTCGCACAGCAAAACTGTGGAATGATCTGTCGTCGGCGGTATTTCCGAACCGATACGACCTTCAAACCTTCAAGAAAAGAGCGTATTCCTTTTTAAAAGGCCGGCAACGCACCTGTGACTCTTCTGGTGTTGCGGGTGTCCATGGGCCGCGCTGATCGCTTACCATCAGGTGATCCGTCTGCTCGTTTACCTCCAATTCCATAAAAAAAAAAGTTTTTTTCCACAAAACCGACCAGAATATCTCTAGCGAAAAAACCTAATCGAAAATCGAATTCCACGAGCTCCTGCCCACTGGAACACTGTATAATGTAACACTCACTTTCCACTATTTATGTTATGAGTCCCATGTAATAGGGGGTGAGCCTATTGCCATATACCGGGCACAATTCCAGACTCCGTGCTGCAACTGGATTACCAAGGGTAGGCAGAGGTGCACATTAATTATGTCACAGTATATAATTGTAACACCCACTTTTCACCATTTATTTTTTGAGTCCCATGTACACATGAATACATACATGAAACAATAAAATTAAATAAAAATATAACTGTTATTTGTCTCAGGTATCGCAGCAGGCTGAGTCGTCTACAGAAGGCAGGACGGGGCGACGGCCGAGACGCACGGCTCGCTTCTACGCAGCCAGCAAGGATCCACACGCTACTGACGTTATGTGAGTTAATAGTACATAGTAATATTTGTATTATACAAGATTCTGCCCGCGACTTCGTACGCGCAATCCTGTTTTCTTAATGTGTTCTTTCAATGTTTATTTTTTATTTTAGTAAGGTTTGTAAAGTACGTATAATGCGTCAAGCGTGTCTTTGCATTGTTCTCACATATATGTACGTACAGTATTGGAATATGTATCAGAGACATTGTAGAACATACTTTTTTTAAAAAGAGTAACGAATGGAGTTTCTTGCTCGTTCTTCTCCATTCGAATCTACATTTTGGATTTATTTTAGTAAGGTTTGTAATTAGTACCTATAATGCGTCAAGTGTGTCTTTGCATTGTTCTAACATATACGTACAGTATTGGAATATGTATCAGAGACATTGTAGAATATACTTTTTTAAAAAGAGTAACGAATGGTGTTTTTCGCTCGTTCTTCTCCATTCGAATCTACACTTTGGAATGAGCACCTAGCTTCACTGACGGACAGACTGACAGACTATTATTTGTTAACACTTCAGAAGTACCAAATTATGGTTTAATTGAAATAAATGTTTTGACTTTGACTCCCGTTCCCGTTGGATTCTCAGGATTTTTTCTGTCTTTTAAGAATCTTCTAATAAAAACAAAAAAAAAGAATTAATGAATTCTGTCCAGTCATTCACGCGTGATACCGTGACCAAAGGAAAAGAGATTAATTTTTATATACAGAGTGGAATTTTGTAATGCCACCTGAACGGGAAGTATTCTTATTTTTGATAAGAAACAAAACTGCATTCAAAGATTTTCAAATATTAGCTTGTCGAACCGACTAAAATATATCGAAGTTTGCACCCTGTACTTTTATTCCATCAATTCCTTTTATGTGGTATACATTGGTCAACCATCCCGTCACAGCCCCGCTTAACGACTGCTTAGTTTTGGCCGAAGGGTGTCTTATACCGACGTTTTCGAGGCCGCCTACGTGACACCGACCAGCGAAACACGACACCACGCACATCGTGAATTAAATTAATAACTTGTATAATGGGGATGATGACAGGGTATGAAAATTAAAAATATAATTAGTCCGTAAGTTAGGTAATGAAAAAATATTAGACACGTATTTTTTTATTTTGTCGTATAATAAAACAATACTTAGATAAAACGAATCAAAGTTTAGGAGTGGGGGCTAAAACGTCATTCCTTAGTATAAAATGTACTGAGAAGTGACGTCACGCGACATTTCAAATCAATATATCTTCGAAACTATTCGTTTCTGTGAGAAAATAAAAACTACGTGTCTAATGTTTTTAAATAATCTATCAGACGGACATTAAAATAAAAATTAGTCGTCTACCCTATTATGTATTTATAGTATTTTATGTTTTATATTATAGAGGTAGTATTATTGTATTAATATGGGCCTTCGTTGCCTGATGTAAATTAATAAATAAAATTAACATTCCCCTGGTCCCCTACAGAAGCAGCCGCAAGCACAAGACGCGCCACTCGCTGAACCCGCCCGTGGAGCACCACGTCGGCTGGATCATGGACATACGTGAACATCGCGCAAGGACGCACAGCACCGGGTATGATTATCCTACTTTACAATACTCTACACAGACTATATTCCTAACGGGTAACCGGGGCTCCGGCTCGACGTGCAGGAGAAGGAACGGGGTGGTTTTTAGTCAGTAAGAGTCTGACACTCCCTTCCGCCTCACCCAGGCGGGAGCAGTCTTTCGATGATTTTCCCCCTTAAAAAAAAAAACACAGACTATATTCGATTGTATCGCCATCTATGTATATGGGTGTTGGATTTTGGCGCCATCTATATGGGTGCTAAATATTTAATAGCTTTTGCAAACGACTTCCGTTGCGCTCTTTTGACTGCCTCTTTGGCCGAGTGGCCGCAAGTGCGGCTGCCGGACATGGGTTCGGGTTCGATTCCCAGGTAGCTACTGAGTTTTTTTTAAATTCTCAGTTGTAGCGCGGAGTTTGGAATTGTTCCTGGTATATGGCAATAGGCTCACGCCCTATTACATGGGACTCGTAACATAAATAGTGAAAAGTGGGTGTTACTTCTGTGTGCACCTATGCCTACCCTTTCGGGGATTATATTGGTTATATATAGATAATGTGTGTAGATTAAAAAAAATGGGACAAGTCCGCCACAACCTCCCAAAACCGCTGCAACTCCTGTGCACCAGGATCTACAGTAGATACAACCATGAAAACACCGGAACACTGAAGTCCGGCGCGTCCCAGGGACATAAGTAACTGTCTTGGTTCCCGAAACGAAGTGAATCAGACGATATTATAAGAGAAGAAGAAAAATGTTTAATGTGTGTAGATTGTCCAGTAACACAAGTGTCCCCCCAGGTCGTCGGTGGGCACGTCCCCGACGCTGGGGTCGTCGTGCGGGTCGGTGCCGGCGTCGCTGCCGACGTTCCACCACCCCAGCCACGGCCTGCTGCGGGAGAACCACTTCACGCAACAGGCCTACCACAAATACCACTCGCGCTGCCTTAAAGGTAACTACATATCTTTTATATCATTTCTAAGTGTACGTGCGGAGGAGTGTACATGCTTCAAAGCCTCGGACACAGGCGTAAGGTTGCAAACCTTTCAGTCTTCTACCGGATACATTTCGGAGAGTACACTCACCGAAATGTATCCGACTTCTCACCTATCAGTGGGTGTGTATGCTATATGTAAGTACGTATGACCAATAATAGTTATTTTTTGCTTTTTAGTTTTTAGTTTTTGAACTCGGTTTTTTTATAAAAAATAAGTTTCCTTGTACGATGTGGTAAGGAAAGAATTCCACTTCTTTGCTAGAGTCAGTATTTCCTGAAGGAATATGACCTGGGCGTCTTCAAGGCCCGAGTGAATAGGTTGCTTACCAGGCGTGCTACATCGTTTATCACCAAACAAAATAGTGGCTAAACGATGTCTTACCAAGCATATGACGTAACTGTTTGGTGAGGAACTCGACTAGTTTCAAGCCATCTATAGGCTCATATTCAAGAGCAGCATTCCGCGGCACGGCGACGGTCGCGCTGCTACTGAATAGAGCCTCTAGCATGGCTTGAAACTAGTCGCGTTCCGCGTCATGTCGTACGTCTCACAAAAGTTTTAATATAACAAGAACAATGTAAAATTTCATATGTTACAGTACACAGTAGTCATCATTATCATGTGTTGATGAATTACAGTCCACTGCTGAGTTGTTAGTCTAGTAATTTGAGGTTTTCCTACAGAAAAAATCTAGTAAACTTAATTCTTAATGTCGTGGTGGCCCGGAGGTTTAAGAAGCCCTCTTTTCATTCATGAGGGTGTGGGTCCGAAACCTACCAACAGCAAGTACCTTTGTGACTTTTTCCGAGTTATACGTACTTTCTAAGATTATTTAGACACCACTGACAAACGGTGAAGGAAAACATGGTCAAGAAACCTAGGCTTCTAAGTATCAGTTTGTAATCGCCAACACGCGTTGAGCAAGCGTGGTTATTAATACTTAAACCTTCGCCATGTGGAGCAAAAGCCTTTGTTCAGCAGTGGGCATGTATAGGCTGTTGATGATGATGATCATGATGAAACTTAATTCATTAAAGATTAAAAAAACAGTACCTAAGCACTTTTCCATAAAATCAACCCTCTTTGGTAGTCGAACGCCAAGAAACTCGGACAGCAAATGTAAAGAAAAATCTATAAATGATTATAATATTAAATAAATTATTATGTTTCCGACTTACCCACGTAATTATTTGACGAGGAACTCGACTAGTTTCAAGCCATGCTAGAGACTCATATTCATGAGCTGCATTTCGCGACCCGAATTTAATTCGAAAACATAGGTAATAATTTATTTAGTATGTCTCACGAAAGTTATAATACGATTATAATATAATTCTCTTAATTTGTAGAACGTAAGAAGCTGGGCATAGGACAGTCACAGGAGATGAACACACTGTTCCGGTTCTGGTCGTTCTTCCTACGAGACCACTTCAACCGCACCATGTATAATGAATTCAGGTAAATATTCGTTTTATTATATGTATTTCTACAATCTAACTGGTATGAAAACAGTGAATGCAAATTAAACTGTCAAACACCGCGGGGACACCGGTGACCGCAACCTATTGTTCTTTTATTGTGTCTATAATGACGGTACTCAAAGAGTTAATTAATGGTTTTGAACGAAAATTTTTAGCATACGGTGAATTAAAATTAATGGTTTTGTGTGAGTTGGAAACTTAATAGAATTGTTTTATATGTGAATTAGTATTTAATGCAATATTTTATTTACTTCATAAACAACTAATGGAAATAGCTAATTAGGTTTTTAGCTATGGTAAAAATAAAAATAGCTAAATCTACATTACTAGATATATTTTTCCAAAAATCGAATATGCATATGTATATGCATCGAATTGTTTTGTTATTCCATTTTTTCATGGTAAAACTACGACGATTCTGATTAATTAAATGTTTTCGTTGCAAGTCATACGAAACATTACGATTAAAATACAATTAATACATTTTTGCAAAATAAAAAAATAATTATTTTTTGACGATCGAAATCTACATAATTATTATCACGCTATAACCAAACGTATCATTTCCAGAACGCTAGCCAACGAGGACGCGTCAGCCGGTTTCCGTTACGGCCTGGAGTGTCTATTCCGTTTCTACTCGTACGGACTCGAACGGAAGTTCAGACCAGAACTATATCAACACTTCCAGCAGGAAACCGTCGCCGATTATGAAAAGGGTGAGTCAAATCATAGTTTTACTAGCTTCATCCAGCTGCTTCGCCCCCGTTCAATTGTGTACTTGCCAACTAGTCAAATTCAATACTTTTTTCGAACTGTCAAAAACGAGAGTTTTCTACGAATTTTATACGAGATTGTGTATTGTGACGTCAACGTTTTTTAACGACGAACAGCATAGTTATTTGTTAAAAATTTGGTGGAAAGAATACTGAAATGAAGTTAATCGTAAAATCAATTAATGAAAGTGTGTTAACTAAAATCTCGGGTTACTCACGTTAGTATACTGAGAAAAGCTCTACTAGTTTCGAACCACAGAGGGGTTCTTCTTCATGAGCAGCGTGCGCGGTCGCGGCGACGTCGCTCCTGTGAGCTGCGCGACGACGAAACTAGTAGAGCTTTTCTCAGTATATATATTCACGTGAGTAACCCGCGATTTTAGTTAACTTAGTATGTCTCACGATAGTTATTATAAAAACAATGAAAGCGTGATTATTTTTTAATGTTTCATTGTATTGAACAGTCGAAATAATTTATTTTTGACTAAGGACAGTACCCAATTGCGATAACAAGCCTATGTGGTATCCCAGATAATAGTCTACACCTGTTCCAAATATTATCCCGATCCCTTCAGCCATTTAGACGTGACAGAGTACGTTTTTATGGGATAAGCCGGTAAACGAGCAGACGGATCACCTGATGGTAAGCAATCGGCGCCGCCTATGGACACCTGGAACACCAGAGGCGTTACAAGTGCGTTACCGGCCTTTTCGGATTAAGAATTTGAGGATTGTTTGGATTTAAGGATTGGGGAAGAGGGATTGAGGGTAGATTTTACAATTAAACCCCCCCCCCCCGGGTTTAATTGGGCCTCCGATAACCTCAATCACACGACGAAACACAACGCAAGTATTGCTTCACGTCAGTTTTCTGCTCGGCCGTGGTATCACGCCGGTCGAGCCGGCCCATTCGTGCCGAAGCATGGCTCTCCCACACTTATACCACTCCCGCAGTAACAAATAACCATACAAAATTTCGCATTTATAATTTTACAAGGATACGTTTTGTGGACGAAAAATCATTCAATGACTTCTCCCCCTATGGATGACGCGAGAGAGAGTGTCAAACAATGAAATAGAACTGCAATTGGACTGCTCGTTTGGTTTGCAGTTCAATTGCAGTCGTGACACGACTATTTAACCTGTATCCGAACTGCAATTTGCGGTTGAATTGCAGTTGAAACAGAAGTTCTTTTTGACTCAAAACATGTTTCATGTCTTTCTTTGTTTCTCACACCAACAGGTCAGTTATACGGCTTAGAAAAATTCTGGGCGTTCCTGAAGTACTACAAGCATACAGGAGCGTTGCAGGTCGACCCCAAGCTGCAGGGGTATCTGGAGAACTTCCAGAGCATCGAAGATTTTAGGGTGCTTGAGGTGAGTTCACTAAATTCAATTAGGATGATGACGGGGTATGAAAATTAAAAATCTAATTAGTCTAAAAATCTAATCACGTGTGTAACCCGCGATTTTTAGTTGAGTGTTATTTTGGAATATATGTATCGTATGTATATTCATAAGCATGTAGTAAAAAGCGGTTATTTTAATATTACAAACAGACATTTTAATTTTATTTATCTGTATGAATGAAATTTCATTTTAATTTGCATCTATCCTTAGAGAAAGTGTCATGTGCTATTTCAGATTAACGCTTCGATGCGCTAACATGAAAGCCTGTATTAATTCTAAACGCCAACGACACAGGAGAATATTCTAGCGTAGGTAGAGCAAAATGTTCAATTTAAAAGTAGTAAAATGTATTTGCACTATATGTCCACTGTATACGAGTGTAATGTCGTGTACAGTCACTGCGAATGTGAGTGCTACAGTAACAGAGTCGCTCGGCGTTCCGTACCGACGATGTATAGCCGGGACGGGTGCAGTGGTGACGCGACAAACTTTATATTATTCTGTACAAAATGACATGTTAAACTCGTATGTTTTTAAAATTAATTGATATTTGAATCGTGGTAGAATTGAACTTGTTTGTGATGTTAGTAATACAGTCTTGCGAAGTTCTTTAGTAGTAGTAGTGGCCCGGAGGTTTATGACGCACTTCTTATACATGAGAGTGCTAGTTCGAAACCTACCAACGGCAAGTACCAATGTGACTTTTTCCGAGTCATATGTACTTTCTAAGATTATTTAGACACCACTGACAAACGGTGAAGGAAACCTGGACTTATAAATTTCTACCCGCATTGAGCAAGCGTGGTGATTAATGCTTCTCCGTGTGAGAAGATGCTTTGCTCAGCAATGGGCATTTATAGGCTGTTGATGATGATGATGATGATGATGATGATGATGATGATGACGTATGAGGACTTCCAAAGTTTCATCAAAATCGGTTCAATGGTTTCCATGTATTGATAATTTTTATGTTAACTTGTGCCGTTTAATTCTTTAGTTTATCTATTTAGTTTTGGCTATGACTGATTAAAAGTTTTCTAGTCAACGACGACTAGAAAGCTTTAACTGACATATAGAGATGTTGACACGGTATGTCCCCCGCAGCCCCAACTGAACGAGCTGCTGGCGGCGGCGGGCCCGGCGGCCCCGGGGCGCGGCCCGCACGCGCGGCCCTACGACCGCACGCGCTCCGTCTCCGAGAGCGACCGCGCCGCCGCCGCCGCACGAAACCCCAGGTACACACATAACATCACGCCTTTTATCCACGAAGGGGTAGGCAGAGGTGCACATTATACCACAGTACAATGTAACACCCACTTTTCACTTTTTATGTTATGAGTCCCATGTAATAGGGGGTGAGCCTATTGCCATATACCGGGCACAGTTCCAGGCTCCGTGCTACTACTGAAAATTTTTTAAAACCCAGTAATACTTTGCCCCAGGTATTACTCACACATACATACATGTACGGTCAAAGGACTAATCAAATTCGACTGCACGGTTGGTGCGGTGGCTGGGCAACCGGCTGCCGTGCAACGTATCGCGGGTTCGATTCCCGCACGGAACAACACTTTGTGTGATCCACAAATTGTTGTTTCGAGTCTGGGTGTCATGTGTGAACTTGTATGTTTGTTAACGTACACACGACATAGGAGATAATTCTAGTGTGGGGCAATATTTTTAAAAATACTGAAGTGTATAATTACAAAATTATATTCATTTATATATACTGTCTTAGTAAAAGTATTTCGTTTATAAATATATATGACCCAAGTACAGCATAACTATATGATTTATTTAGTTAATTAGTTACTATATAATGTTTCAGTTTGTGCTATAAAATTATATTAACTGCATATTGTACAAGCCTATTTTCGTTGATTCTTTATTGAACCCCAAGTTTGGTTAGGAGAAAATACCATATGGCATTAAGTATGTATAGTATGTATAGTTATTATATATTTTATGTATAGTTTTGTTGGACATGGCGTTTAATTATAATGCATATATTGTACCTTTTATTGTTTAATAAATAATAATAATGAGTTTGCCTTATGTACTTTATTTTTGTGTGCATCAAAGAGGTAATAAATAAAAATGAACCATGTTTGTATGAATAAATAATGAGATGTATGTCCGTGCAGGGCGCAGGGCGGCCCCCGCGCGGCCCCCAGCACCAACCGCGGCCGCGCCGGCTCCTGCGGCGCGCAGAGCGTCGTCGCCACCGCGCGCACCAGGGGTACGTACACTCATTCTACACTCACTACTTATACTAATACTAGCTTTTACCCACGGCTTCGCTCGCGTCACAAAAGGATAAAAAGTAGCCTATGTGACATATACCAATACATCCAGCGCCATCTATACCAATACTTTTGTTTTCCCTCGGGAATATCTAATTTTTTCGGGATAAAAAGTACCCTATTATTTAATCCAGACTACTAACTTTACGTCTGCAAAAATTCAATGCAATCGGTTTAGTAGTTACGGCGTGAAGTCGGAACAAACAAACAAACTCACTTTCCGATTTATTATATTAGTAAGGATTTCGTTTTGTTCCGCTGACCAATGAATTGGGTACTTGCCTTAATGAATAATAAATTATTTCGACTGTTCAATACAATTCAATACACTAAAATATATCAGCACCAGCCGCGCAGCACACGACGCCGACACAGCACAATAGTCGTGATAATTAGTGTTTCAATTTATTATTTAAATTATGTATTTATAGTAATTTAAGTTAAAATTGTAGTAGATATTATGGTATTATTGTATTTTAATATGGGCCTTCGTTGCCTGATATAAATATATAAATAAATAAAAAAATAAATAAATATCACACTTTCATTAATTACTTCTATAACCAACTCAATTTTAGTATTTTTCCAGAAAATTTTTAACGAATAAGTATGCTGTTTGACGCTTAAAAAACGTGACGTCACAATACATAATCTCGTACAAAATTTATAGAAAACTATTGTTTTTAACAGTTCGAAAAAAGTATTGAATTTTAACTAGTTGGCAAGTACCCAATTTGCAGCTTGCAGTTAAACGCTCATGCAACAGAGATGCGAAACAACACACACACGAAACGTAATAAACCACTCGAACCGCACTCAACATAATATTTTTCGCTCCTCCACGGAGCATCTCTATGCTGCATAAATGTTTATCTGCGGGCTGAAGAGTAGTGCTGCATGTCCCTGGGACGCGCCGGACTTCAGTGTTCCGGTGTTTTCATAATTGTATCTACTGTATATCTTGGTGTACAGCAACTGTAGCCAAATGCCATTTAGCGCTTGTCTACATGTAGAATAGAAAATCAAATTATATGAAACATAGACGTAAATTTTGACACTTGTCAATGTCATCCCCATAAATTTAGTTTTCTACTCTCTGCGCTAAACTGGCGTTTGGCTAAAGGTGCAGGAGTTGCAGCGGTTTTGGGAGGATATAGCGGACTTATCCCAAAAAAAAGAAAGCGAGATGCCGATCAAAATGTTATATATATACAAAAAATGGATATATACTCAGTATTTACTATGTAACATAACATGACATCACGCCTTTTGTGCCCGAAGTGGCAGGCAGAGGTGCACATTACGACTTAACGCCACTGTACAATATAACACCCACTTTTCACTATTTATGTTATGAGTCCCATGTAATAGGAAGTGAGAATATTACCATATACCGGACACAATTCCAGACTCCGTGCTACTACTGAGTTTTGATGTTTTTTAAAACCCTAATTACTAAGTATATATCCGAAATATCGTCCATCTACAGTCACTACACAGTAAAAATATACTAATTCAACTAATTTTCTCCACAGCAACACCAAAAACGAAACAAGACAGCGGAGAGCCGAAGCCGTTAGCAGCCAAACAGTGATCTTTAACGTGTACATATATTAATAAAAAGACATTCAGTGCAAAGTGCTTAATCACCGGCAATAATGATATGTAATGTGTCGAATGCATTTTATTATACTATATATAAATATGTTTAAAAACTTAAAGTTTAGTGCCCAGACACTAGTGAGTTTGAAATGTTGCTCGTTGGTTATTTACGGCGACTAGGTGAGTTGCATTATATATTTTATAGTTTTTAAGTTTATTTATAATTACGTTGCATTGTATTGAATCAGTGACATTAGCGCTTGTCTACAGAGAGAGTATAAAACTAAATGTATGAGGATGACACTGACAAGTGTCAAAATTTACGTCAATCCCATATAATTTGGTTTTCTATTCTACATGTAGACAAGCGCTAAGTGGCATTTGGCTACAGCTGCAGGGCTTTATAATTTTTAATTATATAGAGTGTATACGGGAAGCGTCCGAATCGCTGACAGAAAGAAATTATTTGTACAATTTCAATCGCTTTTGCTTTCGTGTTATTCATGCAGTCTTGAGTGGTTGATTACAACTACATAACATCACGCCTTTTATCCCCGAAGGGGCAGGCAGAGATGCATTAGGGCACTTAATGCCACTGTACAATGTAACACCCACTTTTCACTATGTATGTTATGAGTCCCATGTAATAGGGGGTGAGCCTATTGCCATATACCGGGCACATTTTTCCAGACTCCGTGCTACTACTGAGTTTTTTTTTTAAAACCCAGTAATACTTTGACCGACTCGGGAATCGAACCCGAGACCCCTTACCCGGCAGTCGCACTTGCGACCACTCGGCCAACGAGGCAGTCTCGGGTTTGATTACCGATTTTTACGAAGTCTTTTTGACGTCTGTAAATATCCTCTTGGTTATCTCATTTTTACATAGTTAACAAACACATTTAACCTATTTGTCTGTTTGTCCACAGCTTATATGCATCGACAATAAGCAACGCTACGCTCTGTTTCACGCGATATCATAATTATTGACAAAAATATAGCTAGAGAGTAAGTATGTACTACCATATATATAAACTTATATATTTTTGACATTGTATAAAAATATAAAATTATAACGACATTCATTGTCTTAATAAAATTTTCAAAATGACATTAAAAAAAACAAACGTTCTGTCGTAGTCTTTGGTAGGGTTAAGTATTTTTTATCTGTGGCTACTTTGGTGCTGCAACATCGACATCCTCGCATTTTGTTTGAATTTTGAATTTAGAACCACCAGTTTGGTTAAGAGCCTTTTGAGACTCGACTAGTGAATTTTTCTCGAAAATTTCGAGTGAGTATGAGTAAGGTTGAGTGTATCTGAGTATCAACTCTGGTTTTGTATGTATAAGTCGTGTTAAGTAATGAACTCAAATGAGTTATAGTCACTCAGTGTTATAAGGTGTATTTAAAGTTGAACTCATCTACACTCAACCCAAATGAGTGTTACACTCAACTCAACTCAACCATACTCATTTCGATATTCATATGATTTGGATCTCTAGACAAAAAATTATGGAAAAAATACGAAAAAAATTGTCATTTTACTTTTTTTTTCTTTAAGTCATGATAAAATTGTACAGTCTGTGTAAAAAATAAATAAATGGGTGTGGTGAATTAAAAAAATAGTTTAAAAAAACGTGTATAATATGCTGAAGACTGGTATTATTCGGTTCCGGTGTCGCGCGAAGTTTTTTGATGATGATGATGATGAGAAATTTAATAATTAAACGAGCGAGTCTGTGTGTTGATGATTACGGTTGAAAATACTTAATTTTTTTACGTTTTTTTCTCATTTCCTATATCTGTATAATAGATGCCTTTATGATGAGCCGTCTTTTTGAAAAATGGTGGTCTAAAATTGGACTTTGGATAATTTTTGTGGGTTTTGTTTATGGTGTATGTTTTGTATACGTCTGTCTGTCCCACTACTGTATAAAGCTTTTTGTTAAATAGAAACAATGATAAATATTACATTTATTTACTTAATTTCTGTATATGAATTGCCTATCTCTTCTCATAGTATAAAAAACGTCTTTTTTGGTCCGTCAGTACCGTCATTCTATTCATATTTCTCCTAAAATACACACAGATGACAAATTATTCTATATATTTCCAAGTGTACTACAAAATAAAATTAATGAAAACCCATTAAATCAATCGCTAGTATCAATTTTTACCTTATACAACCTTTTTCGTCCACTGCTGGACATAGGTCTTTTCAATATCCGGCTAATGAGCTCGATCTTTAGCTATTCGCATCCAACCACTGCCAGCCCCATAGCGGATATCGTCACTCCAACTAGCTGGAGGGTGTCATACACTATATTTGATCTGGTCTCCACTCCAGACCACGTCATCAGTTTTTCGACAGATTTTACCCACTGCTACTTCAAATTTCTAATCCTTTGGACTACGTCGATGGTTTTAATTCTCCCCCAATGAGAAAAGGCTTAAATATGTATATAAAAAACATGCAACATAAACGAAACAATGAAAAAAATCTATCCATTTTCTAAACTGTTTTGTCTAAATGTCAGAACTGTCAAACGTCAATCCGCCATCTTGTTTTCAAAAACGACGGCCGTAAAACATACTGCCACTTGTGTATTTAAATAAAAAAATATTATAAACTAGATACTTTAATTGAGCACACATGTTTTTAAGTGACGACGAGAACTATTATAATGGTTTTTAGTAGAATAAAATGGTTGTCATTATTTCCTTGTTTTTTTATTGTTTTTTTTTTTACATGGGACCATTACCGGTCTTTTCATTTCATGGGATCATATAGTCTTTTAAAGGGGCGTTAAAGGACTTTCGACAGCTGTAAATGATATATGAAATTGGACAACCAAAGCCGAAGGATGGACTCCTTAGTGTAATTTGATGTATTTTTGTTACGACATTCTCTTGTAATTAGACTCGCTCCATATTACATGGGCCTCTTAATATAACATCTAAAAAGTAGGTTAAACTAAATGTATATGGTTAACTTTACGTAATTGAAGGCGTTATTTATGTATGTCAAAAATAAATTATTCTAAAATTATTTCATCGAAAATTATAAGCAATTTTTGGTCTAAAATATAAAGTAGTCTAGCTAACGTAATTGGAATACTTAGGTCATAGATCTAGTGTGTTGAATTTAATAGATTACGTCTAAATTTTTCGAAAGTAATAAGTAATAAATCGTTTTGGTGCTATTTTCACTATAAATGGACGAAGGCAACCGTTTTATTCTACCCCTCAACGCATCGGAACGATTTTCAACATTAATAGTTAATTTATAAAAACTATGTAGTCTGAAAATTCTATAAAAACATAATTACTTAACACCTTATCCAAAAATTATCGTATAATAATCCTAATATAATTATCGATACACGAGCAACAAATAATTACTCATTAAAATTATTAACTTACGAATAATTACTTAAAGAAATTATCGTAATTGAAAGTCGTTCCTTGAAATGTTTTTTTTTTAGACTAACTTGCTCAAGTTGTTTTTGGTTTTTATGTTTATGTATAAACTATAATTGTATGTTTCTGTGTCGAATCCGAATTGAATGGTGGCAGATAATTGCTGAGATATAGGTACTTGTATCAACTCATGTAGTGTGGATTGTCCAGTCAACTGATGGTAGCGATGACTGTCCAGGCGACACACGTACTTAGGTATCGTCATGAGCTAATGTTCACATGTAAACAGCAGCTCATGTAAAGAGATTGTCCAGTCAACTGATGGTAGCGGTGACTGTCCAGGCGACACACGTACTTAGGTATCGTCATGAGCTAATGTTCACATGTAAACAGCAGCTCATGTAAAGAGATTGTCCAGCCAACTGATGGTAGCGGTGACTGTCCAGGCGACACACGTACTTAGGTATCGTCATGAGCTAATGTTCACATGTAAACAGCAGCTCATGTAGTGTAGAAATTGGTCTGGGTTCTATTCATACTCCCTTTGCATGTACAGCCGTGATCATTAATGATTATTAATATCGGGTAAGTACATTAAGGGCAGTAGTAAACAAGTATTTGTTTTTGTTTATATTTCTCCTATTCTGAAAATTTCATGCATATGACCATTAGTTTAAAAGCAATAAACGTATATATAGTTTGAAGCCTTGAATGAGCTGAAACTATATTATAATAAATATATTTTGATAATGGTCATATTATGCGTGGATTCTTTTCTAACTCAGAATCTTTTCGGTCCTTATTCAATCGGACTTATATCGTAACTGGTCTAAAATGGGTGTTAGATTGTATATATGCACCTATGTTTATATTTTCGAGTATAAAACACACTTTATGCTTCAGAAACTAACTTATTTTGTAGACAATATGATATAAAATTGATTGCTCAGAGCACGGAGTCTGGAATTGTGCCCGGTATATGGCAATAGGCTCACCCCCTATTACATGGGACTCGAACATAAATAGTGACAAGTGGGTGTAACATTCTACAGTGGCATTTAGTGCCGTAATGTGCACCTCTGCCTCCCCTTCGGGGATAAAAGGCGTGATATTATGTTATGTGAAATTATAAAATTTGTCTGAAATTTTAGAATATGTATATTAAAGATTAGGATGAGTCTAAACTATATCATAGGTGTGTACCTATTGAAAAAAAATATCTTGTGATTTGACCAATTGAGGTGTTCGAACGGTTATGTGTTTTTCGCCTTAACTCTCAATTTTATGGTTATATTGTTAAAATGAGTTATTTAAGATATTCGTGCCTCTAATTGTTTAGTGGTAATATAATAATAACACTATATTATTATTTTGAAACGAAATCTACCGCTGACTGTGAACATATTTTCATGCGGTTTTTAGCCAAGATTTTTTCTGTAATATTAGAATTTTTCATTGATCCTTAATTGCTGTACTCGGTGACATTTAAAGGTGGGGTGAATGGGGATCGAGAGGTAAATAGAGGCAGGAGAAGGGTAAATAGATATTGGGAAATTCTTCATAGTATCGAT